ATTTTGTGGGTGAAACGCGGAAGCCAATCGTGCACAGCAGCGTCCCCCAAAGTTTGGGACATTTTGTCACTTCTGTGGCACAAATAAGCCTCCCTCGTTCAACACAGCGCCCGTGTTATTTTTAAACCCTGAACGCCTGTGTCTGTGTAATCGGTGCGTGTGTGTAACCAGTGTGGTTGTGTGTGTGTGTGTGTGTGTGACCGTACATGGAACGTACTTCTGTACGGTGCACATCTGGAAACGCGGAGTGGAGCCACAGCTGAGGTTCAGCTCTGTCTCTGTGTGTCCATCCGATAGTCCTGAACGCACACAGACAGACAGACAGACAGACAGACAACTAACGGTGCAGTCTGTCAAAACCTCTCTCGTTGTCTGCCATAACTGCTCCTAACTAGTGCCCAGGTAGTGTGGGGGTCTCACCCCCAACATAACTGAATTTCTCCCCCACCCCCTCCTCCCGAAGAAGTTCCGAAGCTTTAATAATGACATATACTATACTTGCATTTGACATCACATCTTTGAGACGTCTCAAAGCGCTTCACAGGATATACTCTAAAGTAGATTGACTGTGTTTTGTGGGCGAAAGGCAGCAGCGAATTGCGCACGGTAGCATCCCGTAAACAGTCGTGGATTGAGTGGCCAAATTATTATTAATATTTATTTCTGGAGGGATTATTACCCCCGGAAAGCGATCCGCCGATCGACTGACAACCGGGCTCCTACTTACTGCTGGGTAAGTACAGACGTGTGGAGTAAGGAGGTTTGGTCCTGCCCCGGGAATCGAACCTGGGTCCCCTCGCTTGCGAGGCGAGCTCTCTAACCACTGAGCTACAGAACTCCACGGTCCTGAGTTAGGCGGTTGAGGAGGTTAGGGGCGCAGTGACTGAACCCTCGGCGAGGCGGGAGGTGTTACGGTCTCTCTGCGTGCTAATGCACACTTCATCCACACACGCGGGAAGCTTTAATTATTCCCATGTGGAATTCCAGCGAAAGAGCTATCCACGGGCCGGGGCTGGGGGGGTGATCCTCGGAGACTTGTCCCACCGGGCGTGAGTGAGCGTTCCTCGGGATAATGATAACAACAATCCCCGCCCCCGACACAGCGCCCCGTCACCTCTCCCGAGATGCCTCACTGCGCTTCGCAGGATGTTAGGATGATGTTCTGTCCGGCGATGGGAAATCCCATCTTCCTTTAAGAAAAAATAATAATAATTCGGTCACTTCAATCCACGACTGTTCGCGGGACTCTTCTGTGCGCAATCTGCTGCCACGTTTTGCCCACAAATACACAGTCACTCCACTTTACAGTATACCCCGTGAAGCGCTTTGAGATGTCTCGACAGCATGATAAGGCGCTGTGCCAAATTTAAGGACTATTATTATCTGTGACCAGAACTCTCTCTCTCCCTTCTCATCTACGGTCCTTTCCTGTCTGGTTCTGTTCTCATCTCCCCCACCCCACACCCCACACCCCACCCACCCCCCCCCCCCCGTCCTTCCACCCCCGTATCTGCCAATGGCTTCCCCTCCAGCCCCCCGCACCCTCACGTTCAACGCTTGTTTCCCAGAACTCGGTCCTCTCTTTAATGTTTACACAATAATATTAATCCTTGAATTTGATACAGTGCCTTATCATGTCTGTTGAGACGTCTCAAAGCGCTTCTCAGGATACACCGTTAAGATGGATTTTGGGGGCGAAACGCGGCGGCCAGTTGCACACAGCAGCGTCCCGCAGACAGTCGTGGACTGAGCGGCTTTATTTTGATTGACTTATTTTGAAGGGGGTTAGAGCCGTTATAGCGGCTGTCGGGAGCTGGAGTGTCGCTGCCGTTGGTTGACCTGTTCCCCGCTCTGCGGTCCTGTCGTCCATCCTCTCCCTCTTTGTTAGGCTCTTGTACCGTTTCCTCGACGCCAGAAGGTTGTGAGGTCTGGAACAGCTCAGGGGGAGGATTGTCCCACCTGTTCTTCGGGTGAGACATTAGATCGGGCGCCCATCTGCCTTTCCCTGAGCTCTCCACGACAGCAAACAGCAGCAGTCAATAACCAGGTAAACAGCCAGACAGCCAGCCACGGCCGGGAGCAGCCCAGGTTACCGTCAACCTCCAAAAACTGGACGACGTTTGCTTTTCTAAATGAAAAGAAAAAAGGAAATTGCTCTTCCTCTCCCCCACCCCCCACTCCCTGCCATGGCCTGGGGATGGGGGTGGGGGTGGGGGGGGGAAGTGGGGGCAGCACGGAAATGGTGTGAAGAACTATTCTACAACAAGGGTTCAGCACTTGACCCCCGACGCCTCTCACGTTTGGAGACCGTCGCGAAGCGCTTCACAGGATTTTACCGTAAACAACAACGAGATTACGTTTGTATCGCGGCTTTCGTGTCGGGAGGACGTCCCAAGGCGCTGTAAAGCGTAGTGACTGCGTTTTGCAGGTGAACGCGGCAGGTAGTTTGCGCACGGCCATGACCCCCGCAAACAGCCATGACGTGAGGGGCTGATTTTATTGGGGTTCGGGGTGGGGGGGGGGGGGGGGTTGTTGGCCAGGACACCGGGAAAGAGAGAGAGAGAAACTCCTTTCTTTCTTCGAGTTGTGCCGTGGGATCTTTGCGAGATTAGTTTAACGTCCCATCCGAAGGACGGCACCTCCGACGATGCAACCCCCACCACTCCCCCCCCCCCACCATATCCCCCCCACACCCCCCCCACCCGAGCTGTGCTACAGCATCAATTTAGACGATGTGATTCCAAGTCCTGATGTGGGGGCTGATTCAGAGGCGAGAGAGAGAGAGAGAGCTACCGACTGCGCCAGGCTGACACCTGAGAGCAGCCTGTGACCCTGCACACCTGACGGGCCTGTGAAGTGTAGTGACTGTGTATTCTGTAAGGGAGCGAGGCTTCCCTCCGGCCTGGACTGAGCGAACGTGGTTGGTGTCTCGGGGGTGGAAGTGAAAGTAGTTTGTAACCGCTGATCGTGTGAACCAGACAGAGTTTTTATTCTAGACGTTAGATTCCCGTCGGGGTCGGGGTTGGGGGTGGGAGGGTTTCGGGGGGACGGGGGGTGCGGAGTGCGATGCGGAAGAGGAGGTCGTTGTGAGAGCTTTGTCGTTCCTGTGATAAACGCAGGGTGGTTGGGGGGGTGAATTGGCACAGGTCCTGGGATGTCAGTGTCAGAGTCTACCCCCCCACCCCCCACCCCCCTCCCCCCCACCCCCCTCCCCCCCACCCCCCTCCCCCCGGTCCGCACCACCTTTGTTACGCTGTAAGCCATCCTCACCACAAAAGGAGAAGAAAGAAAACCAGGTGTGGGCGCTGACAGTGAGCAGCTGTGACATCTGTGGGAACAGGTGTGAAAGCAGCCCCCAACCCCCCCGACCCACTCCCACCCCCACACCCCAACCCCCCCAACCCCCCGACCCAACCCCCGACCCACTCCCACCCCCACACCCCAACCCCCCCAACCCCCCGACCCAACCCCCCGACCCACCCCCACACCCCAACCCCCCCAACCCCCCCGACCCACCCCCACCCCCACACCCCAACCCCCCCAACCCCCCACCCACCCCCACACCCAACCCCCCAACCCACCACCCCCCACCCCCCCCAACCCTACAGGGCAAATCAGGGCTCCAGCCTACACTCAGCGTCTGTGTGCGTGTGTCTGTGTGACTGTGTGTATCTCTGTCTGTGTGTGTGTAGCTGTCTGCTGTGTGTGTGTGTGTGGTTGTGTGTGTGTGTGTAGCTGTCTGTGTGTATGTGGCTGTGTGTGTGTGTGTGTGTGTGGCTGTGTGTGTGTGTGTGTCTGTGTGTGTGTGTGTGTGTGTCTGTGTGTGTGTGTGTGTGTGGCTGTTTGTGTGTGTGTGTGTGTGTGGCTGTGTGTGTGTGTGTGTGTGGCTGTTTGTGTGTGTGTGTGTGTGTGTGGCTGTGTGTGTGTGTGTGTGGCTGTGTGTGTGTGTGTGTGGCTGTGTGTGTGTGTGTGTGTGTGTGGCTGTCTGTGTGTGTGTGTCTGTGTGTGTGTGTGTCTGTGTGTGTGTGTGTGGCTGTGTGTGTGTGTGGCTGTGTCTGTGTGTGTGTGTGTGTGTGTGTGTGGCTGTGTGTGTGTGTCTGTGTGTGTGTGTGTGTGTGGCTGTGTGTGTGTGTGTGTGTGGCTGTGTGTGTGTGTGTGTGGCTGTGTGTGTGTGTATGTGGCTGTGTGTGTGTGGCTGTGTGTGTGTGTGTGTGTGTGTGTGGCTGTGTGTGTGTGTGTAGCTGTCTGTGTGTGTGTGGCTGTGTGTGTGTGTGTGTGGCTGTGTGTGTGTGGCTGTGTGTGTGTGGCTGTGTGTGTGGCTCTGTGTGTGTGTGTGTGTGGCTGTGTGTGTGTGTGTGTGTGTGGCTGTCTGTGTGTGTGTATGTCTGTGTGTGTGTGTGTGTGTGGCTGTGTGTGTGGTGTGTGTGTGTGTGTGTGTGTGTGTGTGTGTGTGTGTGTGTGTGTGTGTGGCTGTGTGTGTGTGTGTGTGACTGTCTGTGTGTGTGTGTGTGTGTGTGGCTGTGTGTGTGTGTGTGTCTGTGTGTGTGTGTGAGTGTGTGTGGCTGTGTGTGTGTGTGTGTGTGGCTGTGTGTGTGTGTGTGTGTGTGTGGCTGTCTGTGTGTGTGTGTGTCCTTGTGTGTGTGTGTGTGTGTGTGTGTGGCTGTGTGTGTGTGTGGCTGTGTGTGTGTGTGTGTGTGTGTGTGTGTCTGTGTGTGTGTGTGTGTGGCTGTGTGTGTGTGTGTGTGTGTGTGTGTGTGTGTGTGTGTGTGTGGCTGTGTGTGTGTGTGTGTGTGTGTGTGTCTGTGTGTGGTGTGGCTGTGTGTGTGTGTGTGTGTGGCTGTTGTGTGTGTGTGTGTGGCTGTGTGTGTGTGTGTGTGTGTGTGTGTGTGTGTGTGTGTGTGTGTGTGTGTGTGTGGCTGTGTGTGTGTGTGTGTGTGGCTGTGTGTGTGTGTGTGTGTGTGTGTCTGTGTGTGTGTGTGTGTGTGGCTGTGTGTGTGTGTGTGTGTGTGTGTCTGTGTGTGTGTGTGTGTGTGGCTGTGTCTGTGTGTGTGTGTGTGTGTCTGTGTGTGTGTGTGGCTGTGTGTGTGTGTGTGTCTGTGTGTCTGTGTGTGTGTGTGTGTGTGGCTGACATGAAATAGTGACTCGCCTTATACAAATATAATTTTGTGTGTGTGTGTGTGTTTAGTATGTCTGTGCATGTAGTAACTGCGTGAGTGTAGTGTGTGTGTAGTGTGTGCTTTTGGCAGTGTCTATGGGGTTGAGTTTATTTGGGTTTGTGAAGCCGGTGATCTGTTCATCTGCACTGTCAGCCAAGTGGCGATCCCAGGGCTGTCTGCGTCTCTGATAATTACCGGGAACGGAACTGGGGGTATATATCGCCCCTCACATTGGGAAGTGTCCCCGAGCGCTTCATCCGGGGCTGTGCTTCCCAGCGACTCCGAGACCAGTCGCTCGCTTCGTGGCTGTTTGTAGGGACGTCGCTGTTCACAAATTGGCTGCGGCTTTTCGCCCACAAAACACACAGTCACTACTCTTTACACTGACTCCTGTGAAGCACTTTGAGACATCCTCCCAATGTAAAAAGGTGTTGTATTGAGTGCGAGTATTATTATTATTATTATAATTATTTTATTATTATGGAATCAAGACACAGGGTTGTCGTCATTTATGTGGGGGTGGGGAGAGGAAAGGGGCAATAGAAAAACCGCTCCCCCAAACCCCGCCGAGGCTTGAAATTCCTCCCGGTCTTAGCCTTACAACGTAAGGTTCACGCAGATTTGGGGGTCGGGTGGGGTGGGGTGGGGGGGAAGCCTTTGATTTGGAAGGAAGTCAGTTCTGTCTTCGGTTAATCAAAACTGAAATGCAAAAGAGATTCCCCCTTCGATCCCGAGCAGCTTTTGGGACGAAAACGGTTGCTCGGGCTAAGAGAAGGTGGAAAATTTTGGGGAGGGGGGGGGTGGGGGTGGCGACGAAGGAGTTTGGGGCGGTGGGAGGGAGCGGGAGAGTGGGGGGTGGGGGGGGGGGTTGTAGTAAAGCTGTAAAGACTTGGTTAAGAAAGGATTCCGTTACAAGCTGAACTCCGTGAAGCGGAGCTCGCTGCGTGCGAGAGAGCGGCACGAGAGAGAGAGAGAGCGGCGCGAGAGAGAGAGAGAGCGGCGCGAGAGAGAGAGAGAGCGGCGTGAGAGAGAGAGCGGCGCGAGAGAGAGCGGCAGAGCGGTGCGAGAGAGCGGCGCGAGAGAGAGAGAGAGCGGCGCGAGAGAGAGAGAGAGCGGCGCGAGAGAGAGAGAGAGCGGCGCGAGAGAGAGAGAGAGAGAGCGGCGCGAGAGAGAGAGCTCAGTGGATACGCACTGAGTGAAGCCAGATGCGGAGAGAGAGAGAGAGAGAGAGAGAGAGCGAGAGCGCGGGGCAGGGAGTTGGGTTTGGTAGGAGTTATCCTGACAGATTTTCCCCCGAGCAGGCAGCGGGTCAGTCCTGCTAAAGCACTAATCGCTCCCAGCAGTGCCGCGAAGCCAGACTTTGTGGAGCCTGGGTTTCTGGTATAGGAATGTTGTTCCATGTTCCACACATCTTCCTCCTTCCTCTCTCGGTAGCCAAGTGGCAAGGAGTGTGGGGGAGGGCGACGGGGGGGGTGGGGGGGGTTGGGGGAAACGCAGGGGCAGAGAGGAACTTGCAAGCCAATAAATAAATCTCTTGAAGCAACTTTCACCGGGCGGTGGGAGTCTTTCTTCCCCGAGGCAGGGAAGGAATTCGGATAATCCTCGCGGCTCGCGCCGGCGCCTTACCGTGTGGTCGCGGGGAATTGCTGCGGAGTGCGGCCACTGTGCCTTTCGCAGGCGGACGCCGGAGCCCGGCGGTGCGCGCGTCCCCGCAAAACGGCCCCGGGGCGACGGACCGGATTTTGGCCGAGTGTTTTATTGCGGCCGTTGACAGGACCGATTGTAGAGGGCAGGGAATGCGCCTCTCCCTGCTTCACCCCCCCCCCCCCCCCCTGGCAACGGGGGGGGGGGGGGTGAAGCAGCGTTTGCTCGCTCCCTCGGGTTGGACTGAGCGTCACAGCGCTGAGCTCTAATCCTAATCCCCCCCCCCCCCGTTGCCAGCAGCCTGTAACCAGACTCGGGTCCCGTTTCAAACAATAATAATAAGGTTAGCAGCGCGCGCCCATCTGCAAATGTCATCTCTCTTTCAGAGAGCGGAGGGTTCAAAGGCACGGAGGAGGGGAGAGGTGTGGGGTGAGGGGGTGGGGGGGAAGCACAGTGCGGAGAGGGGGGAGGGGAGAGGCCAATGTCAGATACAACTGTCGATGCGCAGGCTTCGTGACGTACGTCCGCGCCAGGTTGAAACGGAAGTTCTGTGTTTCTAATAATAATAATATTCCTTGCATTTGATGTCGCGCCTTATCACCCCGGCCGAGAGAAAAAAATGGGGAAATCTATAGATTTTATAGAAAATTTTATAGATTCTATAGAAAAAAATAGATGCGGGCCGTCTGGTGAATTCCGCGGAAGGTTGCGGAGGCTTTGGTTGGCACCCACGTGTACTGATCCACGTGAGGAAAGACGGGACTAGATGACGGAGCTCGTGGGGGTGAAGTTAAAGTGCTCTGTGATGCTCGCGAGCCCCCTGTGTCGGGCTCCGGGGTTTTATCCTGTGTGGAAAAGCACTCACTCCACAAGTGCCAAGTTGTTGCTCTGTGCCCCGCAGCCACTGAGTCACACGCTTGGCAATTCAGTGCGAACGCACGCCATAGAGAGAGAGAGAGAGAGAGAGAGGGAGGGAGGGAGGGGTGGTGGGGCTCAGCCTCAGAGGGTTGGAAGGTTTGTGGGTTCAGATCCTTGGGTGACAGTCCCCGGGTTGATGCTCCAGTGCAGTACTGTGACGTGGTGGGGGGGGGTGGGGGGGGCAGCAATGCTTAAGTCAGAGCATTAGTCGCATTTCCACGTTCAGAGGAGACGTTAAACCCAAAGTCTGTTCATGTGGATGTTGCAGATATTCTCTCTTATTTTTGGAAAAGAAAGGAAGGGAGTTTCTCCCCTGGCGTCTTGCCCAACAGATAAAATTGATCGTTCATTTTGTGGCAGTTTGTGGGACGTGCGTGTGTATGCGTGCGTGTGTATGCGTGCGTGTGTGTGTGTGCGTGTGTGTGTGGTGGGGGGGGTGGAGATGTGCTCTATTTTTCTTTTGGTCTGACACTCGTGGAAACCCATGACCTGTTACCCGAACCAGACTGACAGTGCGACACATGTACGTTCACCTTCACGTGGGATTGAAAGGCGGTAAATTCGGAACAAATCTACCCCAACGCTGTTTAGGGCTCCCGAGGGAGACGGTTGAAGCAGGAAATATTGATTCTTTCAAACACAGGTTAGATAGTTTTATTATTATTATTTATTATTAGATATATAGATGGCGATCTCCCCACGTCTGTAACGGAATGCGCACTTTCTCTTTTTCTCTCTCTCTCTTTCTCTCGCTTTCTGGTTATCAAAATCTGTATAGAGTATTAAGTGGAGGTTGGCAATAGCGAAATGCTACTGCTGGAGCCTAACCAGCTAAAACCACACCGCTGGCCATCGATATTGCTGTCTGGCAAGCTTTCCCGCTGCTTGTCCAGCTCGGACCCCCTACCTGTTGGGGGCACTGACTTGTAGGGTTAACGGGAACAGAGTGGGAAGAACCCCTGGCATTTTGGGGGTGGATGGGGTGGGGGGTTTGTGTGAAGGGATCACACACCTCCAGAGGGGCTGGCAGAGAGGGAAAATTATGTAACAATAATAATCTTTGCTGTTTGACTCAGCGCCTTAACACGTCTTCGAGACGACTCAAAGCCCTTCACCGAGTATACTGTAAAGTGAATTGACTGTATACGTTGTGGGCGAAACGCGGCAGCCAACTGCGCACAGCAGCGTCCCCACACAAACAGTTGTGGGTTCAAGCGACCAATTTCTCCTTCTTTATTTGTCTTTTTAAAAAAAAAATTTCGGAAGGGATCCGCCAATCGTCTCACAACCGGATTCCTATTCTGTTCACTACTGGGTGAACGGAGGTGTGCGTGCGCGCGCGCGTGTGTGGTGTGCGCGCTCGCCAGTGAGCGCGTGCTAGTGAGTGTGTGTGTGTACGTGTGTGTGTGTGTGTGTGTGTGGAGTAAGGAAACTTGCCCAACATTTCGCCCTGACCCGGGAATCGAACCCTGGGGTCCCAGGTTTTGGAGGTCTTGTGAGCTTCATTGATTGCCGTGGATCCTGGTGCGAGTCCAGCCCGAATCCCAATGAGGTTGAGATGTTAGCGAGACGGTATTGTGCGGACTGTCGTGTTGATTGGATCCGTTGTTGCACAGGGGCATGTGTTTGATGACGTCGCTGATCAGCCAGCCTTGGAATGATCAGTATTTGTAACCAGACATTTAGAAAGTGCTGTGTTTCGCTAGGCAGGCGGTCCCATCTGGCCACCATCTGTGTTCAGCTCGCTCCTGAATCCACGCTTTTATTTATAAGAGAGAGAGAGAGAGAGAGAGCGCGCGAGAGAGAGCGAGAGTGAGAGAGAGAGAGAGAGAGAGAGAGAGGGGAAAGGAAAAAAATACAAATCAAAAGGGCTGCTGTTTTCCTTCTCCAATGGCTCACAGATGTGAGAAATTAAAGCTCGACACATGGGAAGAGGAAGAGAAAGAGGCCGGGAGTCAGAGTGAGAGCGGGAGCGGGAGACGGTGGAGGTGAGAGAGAGAGAGACCCGGGAAGATGTCTTGTCTTCAGAGCGGAGTCTGGAGACCAGCCCGGGCAGGGCTCGCTCATTTCTAAGACGTTTCGTCCGTCTGTTATTTTTCTTTCTCTCTCTCTCTCTCTCTCCCTCGCTCGCTCTTGCTCCGTCTTTTGGGAGCTGTCTGTAGGGAGGAGGTAAGGTTCCAGGCTGGTGATCGCACATTCCCAGCGTGTCCTTAGTTACCGGGTGTCTGTATGTACAGTACTATATAATCTATATTGGTGTGTATGGTTGTGTATGTGTATGTGTGTGTATCTCTGAATGTGAGTCTGTGTGTATGTCTATGTACATATAGAATATATGTGTATACAGTATATGTGTGTGTGTATATGCGGGCGGTGGAAACCTGGCAATAAAGAGCTCCTCGATATTTTTTGTTGTTGGCTTTCCTGAGTGTGGATGTGAATGAAATCTCTCTGTATTCTCCTCACTGTGAGGCGGTGGGGGGAGGGGGGTGTAATCCTGGCGAGGGATGGTTCTGCAGGTTTGTACCAAACCAAAAGCATCTTGGCTCCCGGTGCCTGTGGTGTGATGTGGGCTCCTCAGAGCCACTGTGTGAGTGAGCCCCCAGCACTCCCCACCTCATGCGCGTTCCTATTGGAACAAAAGCCTTTTCATAGCGTTGTACGTTTGTGTGTGTCTATTAGTATGTGCATACGTGTGCACGCGCGCGCGCGTGTGTGTATATACGGGTGTGTTTTCATGCACGCGTCGGTATGTGCATATATGTGTTTGCTTGTGTGTGTGTATCTGTGTGTATGAAAGTGTGTGTGTGTGTGTGTGAATGAAAGTGTGTGTGTTTGTGTGTGCGTAAAGTGTGTGTCTATATCCTCACAGGAATATTCCCAGCGTTTCCACACGGCTTCCCTCTCCGCAGTGACTAATGTACAGGGTACAGGGTTGGTGATGAGAACGAGCCCAACGTGTATTATTTGTTAGTAAATTGAATTTGTTCTTAATTGAGGGAGTGAGCGTGTTCTTCTGAGTTCCCACGGGGAGATGTGTCTCGGGGGGGGGGGGGGGGAGGAATGATTGATGCCCATCCCAGTAATGGGGGGTGGGGTTGGGGTTTAGATATGTGTGTGTGTTTAGATATGAAAGTACTTTGGGACGTCCTCCTGACCTGAAGGAGTTGTACTAATGTCATTCGTTGAGGGTTTGAGGGTTCACCTGTAAAAAAAATACACAGTCACTACACTTCGCAGTAAAATCCTGCGAAGGGCTCCGAGACTCTGCCCTGCGTGAGGGGCAAGTTGTTGTCGTTGTGAAGCTCTCTGAGACATCACACCGAGGTGATAAGGAGACGATCAAAAGCCAAGGATTATTATCTTTGATTATTTATTTGACGCCTCCATCAAAAAGTGTTTGACCTTTGGTTGGTTAGAAACTCGACCGACTGGGAAACAAACTGCCCGCAATTAGTGGCGGGGACGGGGTGGGGGGGGATCAGGGGGACGGAGGGTGGGGGTACTGCTCTGGTCCATCATGGCACATCCTTAATCGCTTTTCCTCACTTCCCGGGAACTCATCTATCATCCTCGGAAACGTCCCATCCAGCCCCGGCTTTTAATGGAAATTGAATTTGATTCTAGCGACGAGGTGGAATGTCTGACCTTTCGTAATGGCTTCAATTTGTCAGCCTCTCTCGCCTCTCGGGTCAGGAGGTTGAACGCTGCTTTGTCAGAGGCGCCATTCTTTCGATGTTTCCCCCGCCCCCTCCTCCCACCCCCATCTCCCGTCTGTGACTTGTACGAGCGCGTGTTAAAAGAAACCCGCGGCGCTATTCGGAAAGAGAAGGGAGTCTCTCCCGATGTCCTGACCAACAATTGCTCCAGGTAAAAAAATAAAAAATTCAGTCGTTCGTTCCACAGCTGTTTGCGGGACGTCGCTGTGCACAAATTGTCGGCCACGTTCACCTCCAAATCCACTCCGTTTTACAGCAAAATCCTCTGAAGCGCTTTGGGATGTCTCAATGGCATGGAAAGGCGCTGCATCAAAAAGCAGGGATTATTAGCTTTATTATTAATTATTGCTATTATCTCCTGTTTAAACATCCCGATCGATACTGCTTGTGTGTTTGAGCAGTCACGATAGCCCTCGTGTTTGACAAGAGCGTATTTGTAGGCGAAACGCGGCAACCGATTCGCGCACAGCAGCGTCTCGCTAACAACCAGGAAGTGAATCGACAATCTTAGCTGAGTGGGGGTTGGGGGTGGTTGTGGGGGGGTGGGAGGGGGGGAGAGTGGGGGCTCTTTAAAACCTTGCGACGTTGCTGACCAGATGCTGTGAAAGATGACCAATCTTTGTAGTTGCTTTGTAGTTGACTGTACAGACGTGGGGTGGTGGGGGGGGGAGGTGGGGGGATGTGTGTGTGTGTTTGGCGGGGAGGGGGGGGGGGGAGCGTATTATATAATAAACCCCACAGCTCTGGAGCGAGGCTGGGCAGAGTGACAGAAGGTGCGCTGGCGCTGTGAGTGAGAGCTCAGCCACGACAGATTGCCAGTGAGGATGTCCTGTTTTGTTTAGGCGTTGAGCTGCTATTTGCATTTTCAATGTAAAGTGTGGACCTGTTTACCATCTGTCAAGGGCTCAGGCTGGGCTGGGAGCCAGGGAGACCCACACCGTCGCCTCCAAACACCCCACTCTCAAACCTCCCTCATTAACACTGCCAGCGAGGGCTGTGTCAGGCAGGGAGAGGGGGTGAGGGGGTTGGGGAGGGTGATTATTTGGGGGTGGGGGGGGGGGGGGGGTTAGATGTCAACCTAAACTGAGGGCGAGGTGTCAACTTGAACTAACGATCAGTCATTTTCCTTTGCTCAACACGTCGCTCTCTCCACGCGTCACCTTGTTGCTCCTGCGGTCGGGGGCAGGAGGAGGGCGAGGGCTGGGATGGGGGCCGTCATTGTATTGAGGGGTGCTGGTGGGAGTTGGGGGGGGGGGGTCTTGCGCCCCTTTTCCTGTGTGTGGTGGTGGGGGGGGGTGTTTGACTCCCCACCCCGGCTGCGATGTATGTCAGTGCCTGGCTCCCCCCACAGTCAGTGCGTGCAGTTGGGAGGCTAACGTCCTCTGGCAGACTTCCCGGGACTCGAGCCTTCCCAATGGGATCCCTGCCAAATGGCATCCTCTCCAACGACTGGGGTTTCAGCTCGTGATGGTGAACGGCAAGTCTGGGACAGTAATTACTGGCTTAATTAGTAAACTGCTGGTGGGTCTGATCCACAAACACAAGGTGGGATGAGAGGGGGGAGTGGGGGGGGGGGGGGGGGGGCGGGCGGGAGGGTGTTGTGTACAGTGCGGTTCCTGAGTGTCAAACGGTTTGAGTGTTGAGTTGCAGTGAGTCGGGCTGTGTACTGCACAACTCCTAACAAGGCCTCAACGAGGAGTCTGAGCTGGTTCGGCAGCTCGTCAGTGCCTGAGGGAGAAGGAGCTCTGCTCTCCGTCTACTCACCCCCGCACGAGGGGCGGTGGGGTGTGGGTGGGGGGGGGGGGGGCGAGCTACGGGACGTCTGCTAAGGTGTGCTGTGGCGCAGTGGTTCGAGCTCTCGCCTCGCAAGCGGAGAGGTTTCCGTGTTTGATTCCCCGGGTCAGGGCGACACCTGAGACAGGTTTCCTTACTCCACACGCCTCTGCTTACCCAGCAGTCAGTAGGAACCCGCTTGTTAGTCGATTGGTGGATCACTTTTCGGGGGTAATAATCCCTCCAAAAAAAATAATAAATTGGTCAATTCAATCCACAGCTGTTTGTGGGACGTTGCTGTGCGCAATTGGCTGCCACGTTTCGCCCACAAAACATACAGTCAGTTCACTTTACAGTGTATCCGGTGAAGCGCTTTGAGACGCCTCAAGGATGTGATAAGGCGCTGTATCAAATACAAGGATTATTATTAATATTAATTCAGTAACAGGAAGCCCGAGTCCCTGATAGGAGCTGACAGGCTGTGATTGACGCTGTAACACAAGCAGTCGTCAGGTCAGGTTTGGCAAGAATTTCTGTCCTTGTTTACAGAACCACAACAGCAATTCCGCACAAGCCTCACCTCGCCCTGTCCTGCCTCTTAAATGGCCGGTGTCCTCTGTACAAAGCGGCTCGGAGGAAGGGTAGAGAGCGCAGACACACAGCTGGCTTTATTGCTAGTGACGGAAAGAGAGACAAACATGTGTGATGACTTGGGGTGGGGGGAGGGTGCGAGTATTATTTAAAAAATCCTGTGAACAGCTGTCAAGTGTAGTGACTGCTATTATTATCATCATCATTAACCGCTCATTCTTCTGTGTCCCCCCCCCCCCAGAGCTGCTGGAACTGCGGGCGCAAAGCGAGCGAGACTTGCAGTGGCTGCAACACTGCGCGATACTGCGGCTCCTTCTGCCAGCACAAGGACTGGGAAAAGCACCACCGCCTGTGCGGGCAGAGCCTGGGCAAAGCCGTACCGGCCAGCAAACCCAGCAAAGGGGAGAAGAGCCCGGCCCTGGAGAAGATCGTCTCCTCCACCGTGGGCTCCCGGTCAGCCACTCCCACCCCACTGAGCACCACCGACGGCAGCGGTCAGTGACGGGCGGACAGTGACGGGGGTCTCGCTGATACCCACCGCGATCGATTGGGGCTTGGCGTGATTTTCACCGACCACCGAAAAATCAAATAGGTGGAGACACCGACCGGCAACATTGACCAGTTCCCACCGCGGGTGGGACATCTCCCGGCTTCCTGCCTCAACCCCAGTCAGCGTTACCGCACCAGCCATCACCCAGAGGATCTTTTACCCAATCGAGGACCCTTTGTTGCCCGAGCGGAACTTACTCGACAGGAATTTTGAGCGAACTGTTTAATTTGCATCTTCTTTCTCTGCGGTGGGCAGGCAGCGAGGGAGTGGGGGGTGAGGGCGGTGGGGTGAAGGGGGGTGTTGAGGTACGGGCTGTGGTTAATGGACCTCTCCGACTTTTATCCCCCCACCCTCCGATACTTTGAGATTGTATAATAGGAACTCTCCGTGTGCTCAGCCAGATCTGTGTGATCGACACTGAATAACTCTCGTTCCTCGTCCTGAAATCTCTCTCTCCCTCCCCCCACCACCTATGAAGTCTATGGGGGGGGTGTGGGGTGGCGGTGGAGGTGGAGACGACACAGAATTTTTCCCGACACACTGACAGGGAGCGGAATGTATTTGTCTCTGAGTCTTACTCTGTGTACCATTTTTATAACCTTTGACCTCTTGAAAGTAACACTCCCCACACCCCCACCCAACCCCCGCCCCCCTCAATGTCCCCCCCAGCCATCCCACTCCCCAAAGCTGATATCAGACACAGACCTTCGCTTAAACACGGGTGGCTGGTGATACAATGTCTTTCCAAAGGAACCCCCCCCCCCCAACCCGATACCTTTCCCACCAATGGGAATGTCTGGCGCTGCGATTGACACGGAATTCAGGGAGAACGTTTTCAGCGCCGGCCTCAATAAAACCGTAATTATTAAAAAAAAATGATATTTTTAAAAAAAGGTCCACGGGCTGAGAGCGGGTGGAATTTCGTTGCCGGTGTTGCTCTGGAGTAGAAAGGAACGGGGAGGGACGTTCCCGGTGACTGATTCCCGCGCTTCGTGGCCAAGTCACTTGTCAGCCAAGCGAGGGGGGGGGTGGTCCCCGATGCAATCGCCCATCGGATCCCACCGCCCGCCCGTGTCTTACACCCCCACCAAAAACAAACCAAATGATCAGTCTCTGAACCAAACATTGTCGCTCTCTCTCTCTCTCCTCTCTCTCTCTTTCCCTCCTGTTTTTTTTTCTTTTTCTCTCCTTCCTTTCTTTTTCTCTCTCTCTGTTCCTTTTTTTCCTCTCCCGCGCTCTCTCTCTCTCTCTCTCTCTCTCTTTCTGTCTGTTGTTGTCACTTTTTCTCTACTGTACAGAGAAGCGGGAGGAGGCCATTCAACCCCTTGAGCCTGTTCTGCCATTCTATAAGATCGTGGCCGACCTGTACGTCAAGTCCAAATACCCCGCCCTTGCCCCGTATCCCTTAATACCCTGACCTAATAAATAGCTATCTCTTTCCCTCTCCCTTTGTGTTATCTTACGAAGCATTCACCTGCTCAGGCCACACCAATGACCAAAGCCCCTCACCACGCACCCCCCCCCCACCCCCTCTGCTCTCACTATAACCAGGGTCCGTTTGTTTGACTTGTGAAACAGTCGACGTGATTCCTTGTTGACATCCATGTGATGAGCACAAACCGTGTCCAGTGAAACTCTGTGCGGACAGACGGTGACTCAACTTCTGGGTTGGAGATTCTTTCTCTCTCTCTCTCTCCCACTCTTGAAGAGAAACGTCCTTTGTATTTGAGCGATCGATAAGTCAGGGCTCATCCCCCCCTCTCCCCACCCACCCAGAAATTTAATCCAAATGAAGGTAAGGAAAGAATAGGCCAGGTCCCCACTCCTCACTCACTGCAGAGACCACCACCCACTTCCTTCCCTCAAGCTCTTTGGGGACGCTACCCAGTGTGAGTGGCGCGATATCAATGCAAGTCGTTGTCACACACGCACACCCAAGAGTCACCTCCTTCAGGACAAACTGAATAGCAAAAGTGGGGGTGGGGGGGGGGGGGGAGTAGAAACACTGACGAGAAGTGAGAGATTTCAAAATATCTTAACAAACCGTTCCTGGTAAAAGGAGATTAAAATAGAGACAAGGAAACAAAACTAACGACCATGACTACTTTAAAAAAATAACGTTCTTCCTCAGCCCTACCCCCCAACCATTCATTTAGAAAATAAAATGCTCTCAAGACCAAATTGGGGAGTTTTGAACGATTTGTATGACGTTAAATGTTAAAAGCAGCCTCTGAGCCTGAGACCAGGTGGAATTTTGGGGCCACTCTGTTGTGGATTGAGTGATCAATTTTTTTGGGGGGGATTCTTACCCCCTGGAAAGGGATCCACCAATTGACTTAACAACCTGGTTCCTACTTCCTGCTGAGTAAACAGAGGTGTGCGGAGGAAGGAAACTTGCCTAAGGTTTCACCCCGCCCGGGAATCGAACCCAGGTCTTCCCGCTTGATTATAAGCTTTAGGTGGGGGGGTGTTGAGGGGGTTTAGAGAGACAGAGAGAGAGAGAGAGAGTGAGCGACACCTCTACTTAAAGTCCCCCTAACCAGCCACTTGCCATTGAAGATTAAAGGGTATTTCTGTTGTGTCTTGAATGCTCTGTGTGTGTGTGTGTGTGTGAGCGTGTGTTTTTTGAATGGGGTAATTGTAATTTTTTTTCTCTGTTGAATATGTAAATAAATATTTGTAAAGAGGATTGGTTTGTTCATTTCCTTCCCCCTCTGACATGTGAAGGGGCTGAGGTTTTGTTATTCCACCCCCCAACCTGGCTGATATTTTAATATTTTATTTAAGATTCAATAATAATAATAACATTTGCAAGGCTGTGAGTAAAGAGCGGGGGACTGGGACTGATTGGGTAGCTCTTCCAAAGGCACAGGCATGATGGGCCGAATGGCCTCCTTCTTTGCTGTAATATTTCTAGGGGCGTATTGGGGGAGGGGGAGGCTGAGTTCCCCTTAATAATAATAATCCTTGCATTTGATATAGCGCTTTTCACGTCGGGAGGACGTCCCAAAGCGCTTCACAGAACACATTGTAAAGTGAATTGACTGTATATTTGTGGGCGAACGCGGCAGCCAATTGCGCACAGCAATGTCCCACAAACAGTCGTGGATTGAAAATGACCAATTTATTATTGTTTTTGGTTTTGGAGGGATTATTATTAGGCTCTGTGTGGAGTAAGGAAACTTGCCCAAGGTTTCGCCCTCTGCTGGGAATTGAACTCAGGTCTCTCACTTGCAAAGCGAGTGCTCTAACCACTGAGCTACAGGACTCCACAGTGGTGGGAAACCTTTACAGACAGCGTTCTCGATGGCGAGCTGTGTGGTTTTAGCTGGTTAGACTCTCTGACAATTACTTCCAACGCACACTCTGGGGTTTCTCCCGCCTTCCCCAAGCCTTGGCTCTTGCCAACCTGCGCCTAATCCGTTCTGGAATTAGGGAAGCAGGATGCCTCCAGCGAGAGAGAGAGAGAGAGAGAGAGAGCGCATTCCATTCCAACAGTCTGTCTCCGGAATTTCCCTGTGTAGGTGGGATGCACGGAATTCTCAGTTTGGTTTGGAGTCTATTAAGCAACGATGATGGGTTTCCCCATGTGTCAGACACCTGGTTGACCAAGAAAAACTATGTACAGTTTTGACTTCCTGCCCTACAGCGAGTGAGTGAGTGAGTGAGTGGGAATGTGCGTTCTAGCGCCCACCAGTGGTTGCTTCCAAGTAGCTTTCGCAAGAGGCAAGAAATAGTGTATATGAGGGTGGGGGGGGGGTGGGGGGAGTCAGCCCGGTATCTTTGACACTTGCGGAAATCCAACACCATACTTAACAGTATCTGATGTGTGGGTGGAGAAGACGGAACGAAACAATCAATGTCGAAAACTTTATTGCGAGTCTACAAGATGTCGAGACATTCCCAGCAGCTCCTGGCAGGGCTAAGGTACCACACACACACAGAACATGGCGATGTTCTCCTGGGCGACCTTGTAGAGGTGAGTCCCGTGCTTGCACTTTTCTCTGCGGCGCAGCACGGTGATGGTGGTGTTGAAGGGGACGCTCCTCATCGTGGGGTCTATCTGGTGGTCGGCTCCCAGACAGGCTTTGAGCAGACAGTGAGCTTCCAGGAGCTTGCGGGGGTAGCGAGTCTTGTCACTGTTAACCCTGTAACCGAGCGAGAGCGAGAGAAGGGTGGATGGGGGGGACAAGAAATTTTTATTAAGCCAACAGAAACAACTTATTCATGTAATAATAATTATCCTTGCGTTTGATGTAGCACCTTGTATCACAAGTATTGTTAACATTTATTAGTGGTTTATTATCATTATTAATAAAATTCCACTGCCTTTTGAGGTTGGTGTTAACCCCGCCCTGTGGCATAACAATAGTAATAATCCTTGGATTTGATATAGTGCTTTATCATGTTGTTGAGAGTCTCAAAGCGCTTCACAGAATATCCTGTAAAGTGGTGTCACTGTATTTTGTGGGCAAAATGTATCACTACACTTGACGGTGGTTCCCCGTGAAGCACTTTGAGATGTTTTGAGGATGTTGGCACTGTATCTCTACCCTTCCTCCGAGCCGCTTTGTACAGAGGACACCAGCCCTTTAAGAGGCAGCACAGGGCGAGGTGAGGCTTGTGCGGAATTGCTGTTTGTGGTTCTGTAAACAAGGACAGAAATTCTTGCCAAACCTGACCTGACGACTGCTTGTGTTACAGCGTCAATCACAGCCTGTCAGCTCCTATCAGGGACTCGGGCTTCCTGTTACTTAATTAATATTAATAATAATCCTTGTGTTTGATACAGCGCCTTATCACATCGTCGAGACATCTCAAAGCGCTTCACAGGATACACTGTAAAGTGAATTGGCAGCCAATTGTGCACAGGAACGTTCCACAAACAGTTGTGGATTGAATGACCAAATTATTATTATTTTTTGGAAGAATTATTATACCCGGAAAGCGATCTGACAATTGACTGACAACCAGGTTCCTACTTACTTCCTAAGAGAACAGAGGCTTATTGTGTAAAGAAACTTGCCTAAGGTTTCATCCTGCCCGGGAATCAAACCCAGGTCCTCTCGCTTGCGAGGTGAGCGCTCTAACCACTGAGCTCCAGGACTCCTTTACATACAGGAGAAGGAACAGCCCCTGTTTATTACATCACGTCAGGATGGAGCTGGGCGAAGGGGGCGAGTTTTTAATTACTTTGGGGAGCGGGTGTTGGAGGGGAGGGGAGGGGAGGCGACGACTGTCTTTACCTGTAGGACCAGGGTGAGGTACTTTGTTCTCCTATCTCCCTCAGAGACATCCTGTGAGAGTTACCCAGGTCCTCGTCAGCCACCAGCTCCAGCACGGGGTTCAGGCTGTAAGAGGGTGTGACCCGCCTCAGCTGCTGACTCAGCTTTTTGTCGGAGGGCTCAGCGCAGTGAGTCCGACCCTCGACCGACTGCCCCAACCACGAGAGGAAGACGAGGCACACGAACAATTGGACCTGCAGGCGGGAGGAAACAAGACGGGAACTGAGTCCGTGATCAGCTTCAACAATAATTTATGTTGATATAGTGCCCTTCACGAGGGGTAGTGTGTCGAAACGCTTAATCTCCCGCAGCAGCAAAACTCCAACGCTAACAGAATATCTAAACTCCAACCGGGACCCTGGAAAATAACAACATCGTCGTCAACAATAAGTACATGAATATCATAAATAATAACAATTGCCCCATTTTGGGGTTTGGGATTTTGAAGTGAGAAAATGTTACGGTCCGTAACCCAAACCCTGCTCGGAGCAAACAAACTCGCCTTTTATGACAAAGTTTCGATAGAATAATAATAATAATAATAGTATTAATAATCCTTGCATTTGATCTAGCGTATTATCACAACACCAAGACGTCTCCAAGCACTTCACACTTTGTGGGTGAAACACGGCAGCAATGTCACTCAAACAGCCATGGAGTGAGTGACCAATTTATTTGGGGGATTGTTGGCCAGGACCCCGGGGGAGAGAGAAACCGCCTTCTCTTTTCCAATAGCCCTGCGGGATCTTTAACATCAAACCCGAACAGGCAGATGGAATTTTGGTTTAACGTTTCGTCCTAAGGACGGCACCTCCGACCATGCAACACCACTGTGCTGGGCTGACACGAGAGTTCAGCCTTCGTGGCTGGTTTCACAACAACGGCGTTTGGAGCAGTGACGACAGACACCCAAACAATGACTGGAATTGTGCAAACAGAGGGATCGTACTCTCCTCTCCGGTGGTGTGTTTTTTTCTTGCTTTATTGGAAATCGAGGCTTAGCATTAAATTATTCCTGTCATAGCTCTACAGTGAGTCATGGAGTATGATTGAATGGTTGAATGCCATTGTTGACACTTGAACCAGTTGATCAACATGACCTGCCCTAACTTGACTTGGTCACAGGACAGTCAGCTTTCTATCAATGAATTCTCTGGGGAAAAAAAACACATGGGCCAACGTGAGCTTTGCTACTTACACCCCCTCCCTCCCCCCACACACCCACTCACACCATTAATTGGGGATTTTACCGTAAAGGTGTAGTAACTGTGTGTTTTGTGAACAAATGCTATCTTTCCCTCTGTCCAGGTCAGAGATGCGAGTGTTATTGTAATAATAATAATCCTTGCCTTTGATTTAACGCCTAATCACATCTTTGAGACGTCTCAAAGCGCTTCACAAAATGTACTGTAAAGTGGAGTGACTGTGTGTTTTGTGGGCAGAACGTGGCAACCAATTATGCACAGCAGCGTCCCACAAACCGTCGTGGATTGAATGACCAAATTATTTAAGAGATTATTAGGGTTGTTGGGATCTGGAATGCATTGCCTGAAAGGGAGGTGGAGGCAGATTCGATAACAACTTTCAAGAGAGAAGTGGATAGATATGTGGGGAGGACAGGCCTACGGGGGAGAGCGCGGGGCAGTGGGATTAGCTTGGATAGCTCTTTCAAAGAACCGGCATGGACACGATGGGCCAAATGGCCTCCTTCTGTGCTGTATGATTCTATGATTACCTCAGGATGGTGCTCTGCCAATCTACTCAGACTGTGTTGCAAGGATGTGCTATCAAGTGTAGTGACTGCGTATTTTGTAGACAAATGCAGCAGCCAATTTGCACAGAGCGAAGTTCCACGAACAAATGAACGTCTGATTTATCCTGGTGTTGGGCAGGAGGTGGGAGGGAAGATTGTCAGCCAGGACACAAGAAAGAAAAACTCCCTTCTTTTTCTGATAGCATCGCAGGATCTTTGAACAGAGTACAGGGAGCTCGGATACAGCGCATTTCCCCCGCGCCCCCCACCTCATCCCTCCATTCCCCTCCCTGTCACTTTGACAGTGAGCTCAAAGTCTCGAGCTGTCAGACATGGAGGAGGAACAAAAGCATAAAGAGAACCAGGAAACTGAGTAAGTAATACTCAAACTTGGTGTGTCCCACAGATTCGTGAATCATTTAGTTTCGTAAACAAGTCAGCGGTATAAAGATGACTGACTGACTGACTGACTGACTGACTGACTGTCTGGCTTTCCAGGGCTCAGGTTGATTTGCACGTTGGTAATTGAATTGAAGCAGTCTCCGTGAATGATTAACAGATCAGCGTTTCAGGAAATTGACTAAAATAAAGAGCAGATGAAGCATTAGTCTGGTTGTCACGGGTCTGGAGGTCACAAGGTTCACGTCAAGATTCTCCCAGACAAGGCAGCAGGTGTGAGGCGTGGTGATAGGTTTCCGCACGTGTTAGACACTCGGCTGAGATCCCCTCCCTCCAACAGCACACACAAGAAAAAAGCGCTTTGCAGGATTCACTGTAAAATGCAGTGACTGTGTAGTTTGTGGGCGAAACACGACAGCTAATTTGCGCACGGCAACGTCCCCACGAACAGCCATGGAGTGAGTGATCAATTTTATTATGGAGGGGGGCATTGGGGGCGAAGGAATTGTTGACAAGAGAGAATCTCCCTTCCCTTTTCCAAAAGCATCATAAGGGTTTTAATGTTTACCTGAACAGGTACAGGCAGGACCTGGTCTTACCTGAAGGATGAGGTGAGGGGGAGGGTTTATGCATAATATAATTCTTGTGTTTGATACAGCGCTTTAACATGTCATTGAGACGTCTCAAAGAGCTTCACAGAATATACTGTAAAGTGAAGTGACTGTGTATTTTGTGGGCGAAATGCAGCAGCCAATTGCGCACAGCAGCGTCCCACAAACAGTTGTGAATTGAGTGACCCAATTGTTTTTTATATAATAATAATACTGTAATATATAAAATAAACCAGACAAACTTTCCTGTTCCTTAAGCCTTGTCCGACACACCTGAGCCGAGCCGAGCTGAGCCGAGCGTGTGTGTGGGCGTTGGGTGAGGACATAAGCAGACTCCACTTCATTGTGTTTGGAAACAAAGGTAAGCCAGGCCTGAGCGAGGCAAAGCCACCAGCGAGGGTAGCTCAGATCACCAGAGAGAGGCTTTGTTTTCATCAAACAAACACTCCGCTTCGGATGGTCTAAAATGCAAGTTTGTCAGAGGAGGGTCTTGAGATGGGTCTTAAAGGTGGGGAGGGAGGGGGCAAGATGGAGGGACTGCGGGATGGAGTTCCAGAGGGTGAGGGCAGAGTGGTGGAAGGCCCACCCGCCAACAGTGGAGGAGGGAGCGAACAGGGTGGTAGGGGGTTAGGAGGTCGGAGAGCTCGGGGGGAGCAAGACCATGGAGGGCTTTGGAGGTGAGGGTCAGGATCTTGAACTGTATCCTCTGTGTGATGGGAAGCCAGTGGAGTCGGGCGAGGATGGGGGTGATAGGGTCATGGAGCCGAGTGCGGGAGAGGACACGGATGTTCTGCAGAGTTCTGGATGATCTGTGGCCTATGGAGGGAGGAGTGGCGGAGCCGGGCTACATTGTGGAGGTGGGGGAAGGCAGAGAGGGTCATGATGCGGATGTGGGGTAGAATGGATAGTTGAGGGTCAAACAAGACCCCGGGGTTCTGGACCGGCTTAGTAAGGTGGAGTGTGCATCCATGGATGGCGATGCTGTCAGCGCCCGAGGTGAGGAGGCGCTGACTTGAGCCAATCAGGAGAGCCTCGGTCTTGTTGTTACCAACAGGTAAATCGCTTCACTGGTTATTATGTAATTAAGGACATAAAAGTGCTGTTGAACACAGTTAGTGCATTCCCGTAGCTCAGCGGTGAGAGCGCTCACTTCGCCAGCGAGAGGACACGGGTTCAAATCCCGGACGGGTCAGAGCGAAACCTTAGGCAAATTTCCTTACTCCACACGCCTCTGCTTACTTACCAGTACCGAGTTCATTGGCGGATCAGTTTCTGAGAGTAATAATACTTCTCCCACCTCCAAAATACATTTGGTCACTAAATCCACCACTGTTTGTGTGGACGCCGCTGCGCGCAATTGGCCGCCGCATTTCACCCACAAAATACACAGTCAATCCACTTCACAGTATATTCCGTGAAGCGCTTTGAGACGTCTCAACGCTGTGATACGGCGCTACATCAAATGCAAGGATTATTATTAAACTATCCTATCTATAGCATTTGCCGCTTCAATAATTCTCTCAAAGTATTTTTAAATCTGCACATCCACGAGGGTTAAAAATTAACCTTTTAAGGTTCAATTCTTTCAGTGCTACCAATAAGACATGAGTCCCGTCAGTCAGTGTCAGCCCGGCTCAGTGGGTCTCACGTTCGCCTCGAGTCAGAAGATTGCTGACTTTGAACTCCTATTGTCTAGGCTGACGCTAGTGCTGGAGGAGCGCTGCATTAATAGAGGCTTCGTACAAGATACACAGTCACTACACTTTACAAGCTCAGGAACTGGACCAACTGTGATCGCCACAGAGCGTTGGCCCTATTCCGACATTCCTTTGCCAAGCACGTCACCTTAGAATCAGCTCAGCTTGAGGAGACCCTGTTTACAGCCCACCCCCACGAGTTAGCCACAAACCAGCCACCAGCCGTCCATCGAGCTCTTCGCTGTTAGGAGATGAGATTCAGTAAAAGCTTTCAAAAAGTGAAATTGAGATTTAATAATAATAATATATAATAATAATCCTTGCATTTGATACAGCTCCTTATCACGTCATTGAGACGTCTCAAAGCGCTTCACAGAATATACTGTAAAGTGAATTGACTGGGTATTTGTGGATGAAACTCGGCAGCCAATTGCGCACAGCAGCGTCCCACAAACAGTCGGAATTGAGCGACCAAATTATTATTCTTTTGAAGGGATTATTACTCTTCGCCAATCGACTGACAACCAGGTTATTGCTCACTTTTGGGTGAACAGAGGCGTGTGGAGTAAGGAAATTTGCTTAAGGTTTCACCCTACCCTGGAATCGAGATTGTAGCTCAGGAAAGGACCTGGGATTTAATGAGGTTCTGCAGGTAATTTGCAATGAACAAGTTGCTTTGTTGCCAACCCTGCAGTCTCTTTCTCTCTCTCTCTCTCTCTCTCCCTTCATAAACAAATCAATAATAATAATAATAATAAAAGAAATAAAGAGGAACTTTTCAGGTCCCAAATTAAAATCAATAACAACACCAAAAATGTGCACTTATATAGCGCCCCTCACACAAAGCAGGGTCCCGGAGTGTTTGACAGGCACGCTCTTACCTTCATGAACATTGCCTTGGAGATTTCCTGTTCCTTTTTATTCTCTCCCTTCTCTCGCTCGCTCTCTCTCTCTCTCTCTCGCTCGCTCGCTCTGAGTTCCCCAGCAATCTGATCTCTGAGGCTCGCCTCTGTGTATCTTGGACAGTTCAGGCTGCTTTTTACATTTGTCTAAGGTCGAACTCCGTGGGAACAGGGAAGAAGGTTTTAAAAACAAGAGAAGGGGAGGAACAGATCAGTTGAGCTTCAGTCTGTCATCAGCCACTTACCAGCCTTGGTCCTTAAAGGGAAACTCCTCCACCGCAACAAATCCGATCTGTGTTTGGAGCCGCCGTTTCCAGAAGAAATACTCACAATGTTCTGCGGAAATTGTGAACCATAAGAATAACAATCCTCATTTTTGATACAGCGCTTCATCACGTCATTGAGACGTCTCAAAGCGCTTCACACAATGTATTATAAAGTGGAGTGGCTGTGTAGTTTTGTGGGCGAAACGCGGCAGCCAATTGCACACTGCAGTGTCCCACAAGCAGTCGTGGATTGAGAGACCAGATTTTTTTTGAGGGATTATTACCTTATTTTGAGGGACTAATAACCGGGTTCCCACTCACTGCCAGGTAAACAGGAGCGTGTGGAGTAAGGAAACGGTTCTCACCCCCCACACATACTACACTTGCACAGCTCAACCGGGAAGTTTCTACATATTAATCCTTCAAAAAAAAATTGGGTCATTCAATGCACAACTGTTTGTGGGACACTGCTGTTCTGCAATTGGCTGTCCACAAATATACGGTCAATTCACTTTAAAGTATATCCTGTATATCTAAGCAAATCCAGGTGAAATATTCAACCAGCTCAGGTATGATCCAAAAGAAATAGAATATTAATATTGATAATAACAATAATAATCTCACGAGCTGGTGATGGGGGAATGGGTGGGTGGAAATGAGGGTACGCTCTGGAGCTGAGAGCTACTGGTGTGAATGGCCTTAAATCCACTGGCTAACAAAGACTGGGACTGTAGTTTGACAGGCAGCCAATGCTGTAATGGGAGGAATAGCAGGAGGAGGATTCAGGGAGAGCCCTATTCATCCTAAACCAAACTTGTTGAGCTTCAGGTCACTGCATTGTGGAACGTGAGCAAATGCAGGTCATGACAGCAACAACAACAACAACAAGATTCCATTTATAGAGCGCCTTTCACATCGGGAGGACGTCTCAAGGCGCTGTACAGTTGGGTCAGGACCCGAGCATTGGGGGGAAATGGTCAGGGTGAGGGGAGGGAAGGGAGGGAGCGAGGAGGGGGTAGAGACAAGCCACCTATTGCAACACACAGTGGAAAATGGAGATAGGGAGTAAAGGCCAGCACGCGCTGTTGACTTGTCACAGGCATCAGTCAGGACTAGATCCGAGCCCAAGTTTCTTGTTGTTGACATCACAGGTAGTGACACTCTCCTGTATAGTGACTGTCTCTTTGTTGGCAAACGCAGCACATGGGTGGGAGAAGAGAGAGAGAGAGAGCCTGAGACTCTTTCACGTATCCCCTTGGCGACAGACCCTGGGAAATAAAGGTTAAACCAAAAATAATAAATGAACAAAAATCCCTCGCGCACACCCAATTTACAAAAAAAAATACGCGGTTTGAAACGTAAGAAAAAAATGGTGGACAGCCGGATCTGAAAAGGAAAAAACCACGTATTGGGGAGGGAGGGGTGCTCTGCGACCTACTGGAGCCTTCGGTCGCCTCCCCCCTCCCCCCGACTCCCCCCGAGTCGTACTCCGCCAAAGTCAAGTGCTCCGGGACCCTGTGAGGGGAGCTGTATAAATGCAAGTTGTTGTTGAGAAACAGCATAAACTGTTAACTCTAATGTTGAATAACGCCCTCAAAACACAGCAAAATACGCATCTGTTCGAGTCGGTCAAATGGGGAGGGGGTTTTGGGTGAGGGAGGGAGGGGAAGGGGGAAAGAGGGGGAGGGGAGAAATAAAGAGACAGAATATCCCACTGTATCTGTACACATGCAATTTATTACACCACAGGTTGGCACCCACAGAGTCAAAGTCACACAGTTTCAAAATAAACCCACAAAATCCAAAAGAAAGCTTTTCATCATCAAAAAAAGGGAGTTGGGGTGGGTGGTGGGGGGGGGGGTGGGGGCTGGTGGGAAGCCACCCGTCTGAGATTGCCTGCAACCGCTGTCCGCCTGTACCTCCCTTGGCCGCCTGTGCTTTCGTGGGAATTCGAGATTTGAGTTCTTTGTGAATCGTACACTCGTTGCGCACTCGCTACATCTCCCGTTGTGTTCGCCCACGAAACGCACAGTCACTATACCTTACAGTGTAGTCAAGGATTATTATTATCGTAAACCTCACATAAGTCGCATCAGTTGAGGCCACACATTTACTATGACTTATGCAAAGTATGAGTTATGTCAAACTTGCACAGAAGATAAACCCTTGAATGGGACGTGGGCAGATGTACAACTTAGGCCATTAAACAATTTACACAGATCGGACTTATGGGGAGTTTTACTGTAATCATCTCCTGCACCACCTCCCCACTCACACCACCCCCCCACCCCCAGTGCAAGTCCATAGGAGGGGGAGAGTGAGCGAGTGGAGGGGGAGGAAGGAGCCACGTACAGACAGACACAGGGACTGACGACGTCACAGGTCAACTGCGACCCCTCAGCCATTTACAATAGATATGTTAGCGACCCAACTACATCAGTTATTGCACATAACTCGTCTACAGAGACCCACGGCAACCTCCACGCAGGATGCCAGCGATCTGAAGGCAGCAGCGGGCAGGCAGGCGGTGTGGGGGGTGGGGGGGGGGACAGAGGGGTGGGGCGGAGGTGTTTGTGAGGAGGGCCTTCTCCCAGCACGGCACAGAGCGAGATGGCTTTCAGCGGCCCATCACAGAGTCAGTTGTTGTTGCTGATGATCCACCAGGAAGCTGAGAAAACAACAACAACATAAACAGTTAAACTAGAGACAAAGAGATAGAGAGACAGAGACAGAGAGAGAGCAAAGGCACCTTTCCAGGTTGCCATCTGAACCAGGAAGTCGTTGTGTAGATTAATAATCTAAACTGTATAACAATGTGGGGCAGCAGCCAATACAGCTGTGTATCGCCCACAAAATACACAGTCGCTACACTACGCAGTAAATCCTGCAAAGCACCTTGAGACGTTTGCACCGTGATAAGGCGCTGGCTCAAATGTGAGGATTATTATTATTATTACTCATTCCCACAAGTGGCTGTTGAGGTCAGATTCAATGGAATCACGTGGGAGAGTGAGAGAGAGGGAAAGAGAGAGAAAAGAGGGAGAGAGGGAGGGAGAGCTACAAGGTGGGATTGATAACAAAAAGACAGTTAACACACGGAGCATAGACAGGATGGGCCAGACAGCCTCTTTCAGTGCTGAAGGTTACTGTGTTTGCGAACATAGGAACAGGAGGAGGCCATTCAGCCCCTCGAGTCTGATCCGCCATTCTATTAGACCGTGGCTGATCTGTACCTGAACTCCAATTACTACAGTTTAACATTTCTATTTAATTTAGAGTTCCTAAAGCTACGCTCTCGCTGACTTATGCAAAGACCTGAGACCCACTTTGTATTGTTTACTAACAGACACAAGGCAAGTAATTGAGAGAAAGTGGGGGTGGGTGGTGGGGGGGGGTGGAGGGGTAGGGGTGGGGAGGATGCAAATAACAAGCAATGTTCCTCTCACCCAGAGGAGAGCCCAGGGCGTCAGATGAGGGTAGGAGGCAGAGCAATGCAGCACGACATATGCAAAGTAAACCATCCTCTTCCCCTTTGGGACTAAGTTGACTCCGAGGTGATTTGCCTGACAATGGATTAGTCAAAGACAGTTGATCGTCTGTGACGTCCTCGATGCAAGGTTTATTATTATATTATTATATTATGTTATTATATTATTATTTGCTTCTTGCATGAGGGTCTCTGCTAGTCGCTGGGTATTGAGGAGGTTGGACATCTTAACCATTAAACAATAATTTGGTACAGGGCCTTTCATGTTGGGAAGAAGTCCCAAAGTGCTTCGCAGGATTTTATTGTAAAAGTGTAGTGACTGTGTGTTTTGTGAAGGAACTCTATCTTTCCCTCTGGCCAGGTCAGAGATGCGAGTGTTGTTGTTATAATAATAATAATAATAATAACCCTTGCATTTGATACAGCGCCTTATTACGTCATTGAGACGTCCTCAAAAGCACTTCACAGAATATACCGTAAAGTAGAGTGACTGTGTGTTTTGTGATCGAAACGTTGGTAGCAATACCAGATAAATAACGCAATAATGCAAATAGCTCGTCAAATAACAACATTGAACGGACTGGATTCAAAGCAACAGATAAACGCACTGAGCCCTAACTATGTAAATCATAAAACGTCAAAAGATCATGTATTTGTGGTATTCTTTCATGTCCAATGCAAATAATATTCATGGAGCACAGGGATGTTTAACCCCTCAACTGCCTGTTCTGTTTTCATGGCTCATTGGTTGAACACATGTGTGAAGCTTCCAATTAGATGCAATACAATTCTTTATATATAGAATAAGTTATAATATTTTATATTATAACTTATAAACCTCAGGCAAGTTTCTTTACTCCACATGTCTCTGTTTACCCAGCAGTAAGTAGGGACCTGGTTGTCAGTCGATTGGCGGATTGTTTTCCGGGGGTAATGATCCCTCCAAAAAATGCAGTCACTCAATCCATGATGGGTAGTGGGACACTGCCTTACACAATTGGCTGCCACGTTTTGCCCACAAAATACAAAGTTACTACACCTTACAGTACGCTCTGTGAAGCGCTTTGAGACGTCTCAACGACATGATAAGGCGCTATATTAAATGCAAGCATTATTTTGCAAGGACAAGTTCTTGTTGATGGTGGTGTTGTTGCTGTTGGTGTTGAAGGTGATAGAAAGGGCCTCATTGTCCTTGGCCCAGGCCGGGGGGTGGGGGCACGGGTGTGGGCGGGAGTCTTACCAGGCAGCAGCATGGTGGTCATGAGCTCAGGGGTCTCCAGGAAATCCACATTCTTCCTCTGGAAGGCCTTGCTGTGGTTTGCCTGCAGGTGGCTGAGACGTTTTACCCATCCATTAGTTAGTGTCAACAACAACAACAACAACAATCTTCTCAGATTTGCAGGTTGTGACTGGTGGAGTGCCGCAAGGATCAGTGCTTGGGCCTCAACTGTTTACAGTCTACATCAATGACATTGATGAGGAAATAGAGCTTAATATATCTAAATTCACAGACAATACAAAGCTAGGTGGGAAAGAAAGCTGTGAAGAGGACACAAGGAGGATGCAAAGGAATATAGACAGGTTAAGCGAGTGGGCAAAAAGGTGGCAGACGGAGTATGATGTGGGCAAGTGTGAAGTTATTCACCTAGTTAGAAAAAATAGAAAAATAGAAAAGCAGATTATTTTCTGGAGGGGGAGAATACTAGTGTTAATATTCAGAGGGATTTAGGTGGCCTTGTACACCAATCACAGAAGGTTAGTATGCAGGTACAGCCAGCAATTAGGAAGGCTAATAGCATGTTAGCATTTATTGCAAAGGGGTTGGAGTACAAGAGTAGGGAAGTCTTGGTGCAATTGTATAAGGCCTTGGTGAGACCGCACAGAGAATATTGTGTGCAGTTTTGGTCTCCTTATCTAAGAAAGGATATACTCACCTTAGAGGGAGTGCAGTGTAGATTCACTAGGTTGGTTCCTGGGTGAGGGGGGGTTAACCTACAAGGAGAGGTTGAGTAAACTAGGCTTATATTCTCTAGAATAGAGAAGAATTAGAGGTGATCTTATAGAAACCTATAAAATTCTTAAGGGTCTTGACAGGGTAGATAGTGTGAGACTGTTTCCTCTGGTTGGAGAATCTAACTCTAGGGGGTTATAGTCTCAGGATTAAAGGTCAGCCTTTTAGAACTGAGTTGAGAAAACGTTTCTTCACTCAGAGGGTAGCGAATTGATGGAATTCCCTACCCCAAAGGCTGTGGATGCTCAGTCCTTGAACATGAGATCAATAATTTTTTAAAAACGAAAGGGATTGAGGGATATGAGGATAGGGCGGGGAAATGGAATTAGGTTAGAAGATCAGCCATGAACTTATTAAATGGCGGGGCTCCTATTTCTTACGTTCTTATTTCTTAACACAATTAACATTTACACAACACCTTTTACACCTTTTACATCAGGAGGAAGTACCAAAGTGCTAAACAGTGAAGGATTTGCACCTGAGTAGGGGGGTGGGATCCAGAGAGGTGGGGGAAGGAGGATGGCCGAAGGCATGGTCGAAGGAGGTAAGGGAAGAGTCGAGGAGGAGGAGCTATGGGATGGCATTCCAAAGGGTGGAGGCAGAGAGGCTGAAGACCTGACTGCCAATGGTGGGGTGGGCCAGGTGGGGGACGTGGAACAGGTTAGATTGAGTGCGCTTTGAGACGTCCTCCTGCTGCAAATCGAAGGTAAGAATCATATTTTTTTCCCCTAAAGGTGTAAAAAAGGAAACTGGCTTCCAGAGGTAATGTCTCCCACCCACAGCCCACACCATCTCTTACCTCCTCCAAGAAGCCCGATCCTGCCAGAACTCATACACGATGAAACGGGATTCATTCCTCAGTTTCTGGACAGAGATGCTGGTTACGAGAGTGGACAGACATCAACATGAACGTGACATGAAGACAGAGAGACCCTGGAGTTGAATTCCCCTCCACTCCCCCCTCTCCTCCACGCCCCCTCCCCACATCCCACCCTCCCTCCACCGCTCCCCATATCCCCCTCCATCCCTCTCTCCCCATGTTGCTGTAGCTTCAGCTCCCACAAGCATGAGGCATTCCCACCTTGCCCGCCACTGTCTATGTGCAAACCTCTAAACCAGTGCTGGCCAACCTGTGGCCCGTGGGCCATTAAGAGGTGCCCCCCACCCCACCCACTCTCCCCCTCCCCCAACATTTGCACAAGTCCAGGTAACTCCATGTTTTCCTTGATTGACTATTTATTGACTGTGGCATGAACATCAAGAAATATTAAAATTCAAGAATTGGCCGACCATAAAGGTTGCCTGGGTACCGCCTTTAACAGCCCCGAGGATCAGCCGCCATGAAGGATGTTCCCCGGATTCTGCCAATATCCCCATAAATATGGGGGTGGGGGGAGGGTGTGGTTATTAAGCCAAAGCGGCCGGCGGTCGCCGCGGTAATCAGCCAGAACGGGTTGCGACTTACTGCAAACTGCCGCTCTGATTGGCTGCGGACTTGACATATCGCTTGAGGTCCTGGCGGAACTCCTCCACCTCCTCCTCCAGCACCGACATCTGCCTCTGAACCACCATCAGCTGCTACGAGGGGGAGAGGGGAGAGGGCGTCAGTCTCCCTGCCCTGCGTGGGATTGGAACACGCAAGGCTCTCTGGGTCTCTTCCCTCCCATTGGCAGTGGGGATCATCCACCCCCTGTGGTTCTCTTTCTCTATCTCTCTTTCTCTGTCTCTAGTCCCCGGTTCCTGAGCCAAGAGGGGCCGCAGTATTCCAGGGCACTCATTGCTGATGACAGCTCAGCCCATCCGCAGGACCTGGAAGGACCGACCAGTCACTGGGGGCAGGGAATCCTCCTTCTCAGCTCCTGGTAACCCTGCAGCCAAAGCCCTAACTAACGGGGAGGGTGGTCCTAGCTGCACGAGGGGGGTTGGTTGTTTGGTTGGTGTGAGGGGGGAGAGAGAGAGAGAGAGAGAGAGTCTGCACTCCAGGATAAATGCAGACTCTTATTCACGGCTCTGGGACGTCACCCCGAGTGAAGGGCTCGCTATCGAAGTACGAGTTGCTGTTGTTGTTATTGTTTCCACATGGGTCAGACCAAAAAGTAAGCAAAACTCCTTTGGGTGGAAACATTCTGATCCTGTGGGTGAGTGGTGGGGAAGGGGAGGGGTGTTGGGGACAGGGAGTGTGGGGTTGGGGGAAGGGGAGGGGTGGTGGGCAGGAGAAAGATCATGTTCCGTTTGCTCCTTTCTCTAAATTGAGTTGTTTTTCCCCGTTCTCTGGTGTATTTTGCCCCAGTCTCTACCCGCGTGGTGACGAGACACCAGGCACTTACAGACTGGGAGGTCCCATCAATCAGTTCTTCTTTCAAAGGCTCCAGTCTCGGAGTCTACCAACACAACAGAAAGATTTTCAGCTTTTGTTTTACATATAATAATAATAATAATCCTTGCATTTGATATAGCGCCTTATCACGTCTCAAAGCCCTTCGCAGAATGTATTATAAAGACTGTATATGTGGTGGGAGAAACATGTCCATTGTGCACAGCGGTGATTCAAAAACGGTCGTGGATTGATCGAACACATTTTTTTTAAAAAAAGGAATTATTACCTCTGGAAAACGATTAACAACTGTGTTCTTACTCACTGATGGGTAAACAGAGACGCGTGTGCGTGTGTGGAGTGAGGAAACTTGCCCAAGGTTTTGCCCTGACCCAGGAATCCAAAGGACATAAAATATTTGTGATTTTTTTTCTCTCCTGTTCATAACCGTTCATAAGCTGGGGAACTTAATAATAATATAAATAACATGCTTTACATCTGGTACTGTACAGTGCCTCTCACGTCAGGAGCGACGTCTCAAAGCGCTTCACAGGATAGACTGTAAAGTGGAGTGGGCGTGTGTGCCATGTGGGCAAAGGTGGTCATGTTTACGCTGTGATGATTACAAACAGATGTGCACAGGGTGTTCACAAAGTCCTGTTACCCCAAGTTTTGGTGTCTCTACAGTGCACTACTGACCAACAACAGAAACATGTGAAAGAATGATGATAATTGTATTTAGACGTGTTCATTGTATTCAGTACAAGTGTATTTAGACGTGCAAAGGATTGATGTGTGTGTGTGTGCATGTGTGTGACTATTTGCGTGCATGTACGTGTGTGTGTGTTTGTTGTGTGAGTATGTGTGTGTTTGTTGTGTGAGTGTATGTGTTTGTGTGTGTGTGTGCATGTGTGTGTGTGCGTGTGTTTGTGTGCATGTGTGTTTGTGTACATGTGTGCGTGCGTGTATTTGTATGTGTGTGTGTGTGTGAGTGCCATCATTTTCATGGCAGATAATGAGCCATCGCCATGTTCGGTGTCACACCTCCCGTGACATGAATGGAGTCATGAGGAGGCGAAATGCGTCTCTGACGCCTGTTTCATAGTCTCGTATCCCTGTTGTGTAACAGGACTTGGTGGACGCTCTGTATTATTATCGTTGACCTAATCCCTGTGTACGTTAGACTAAGTCCAGTGTTAGCTCAGTGTTACCTTCCACTCCAGCCGGTCAACCAGCTGCTGGAGTCTGTTGACCTGAGTTACCCACTGACTTTCGGGCTCAACGTGGACACCTGTAACAGGGAGAGGAACCAACAACAACAAACAAATGACATTTACACAGCGCCCGTCACGTGGGGAGGACGTCCCTAGACGCTGGACAGTCAAGGGGTTTGCACCATGAGCGGCTCACCAGGAGCGAGCATTAACCCCCGGGTCCCAACAGCCAAAGAGCTCACAGCGAGACCCCACACACAGCCGGTCATTCAACAAACTGTCTGGAGGATTCTTGGCCGGGAACCTGAGGAGACACTCCCTTGATAATAATTATAATAATAATAATAATCCTTGCAATTGATGCAGGGCCTTGTCACGTCGTCGAGACGTCTCAAAGCGCTTCACAGGATACACTGTTCAGTGGATTGACCGTGCGTTTTGTGGGTGAAACCCCGGGCGGGCCAGTTTGCCCACAAACAACCGTGGAGTGATCCTGCTGCGGAGTTAATGTAACTCCATCTAAAGCACTGGATGAAATTCAGGTCCCAGGGAAGTCTCTTGGTCTGTCGCAGTGAGCGTCCAAGGCCAACAGGGGGCGGCCCTCGCTCACATCACCAAACCAACAAATTTCCTTCAGGATTCCATTGGATTCATCCCGCGCTGTCTGTCGCTCAAAATAGCCAGCGATCGCCTCCCTCCCCTTTCGTTGGCAGATCCCATCTATAACCCCATTTCTCCACATTTTCTCCGCATCCCCTTTATTTCACTCCCGGCAGAGCGTGGGGAGGGGGGAGGGGTGGTGCGGTTGGGGAAGGAAGAGATCAACAACAACAACTTTCGCCCACAAAACACACGGTTAATTCACGTGGCTGTATATCCCGTGAAGCGCTTTGAGACGTCTCAAAAGCGTGATCAGGCGCTGTATCAAAATGCCAGGATTATTATTATGACAACAACAACTTGCATTTATACAGCGTGTTCTGCATGCGGGGCAGTCTCTCAGAGCACTTAACAGTGGCGAGTCGGTGGGGGGGGGGGGGTGGTGAGTTGACCTTAGACTCGGCCGAAGAGGAAGGTCTTTGGTGCGATCTGAAAAAGGGGTGTAGGAGAGGGGAATAGAGGGGAGGGATTGAGGAAGAGGGTTCCAAAGTCTCGGGGATTAGTGGCTGAAAGCGTGGACGCCGATGGTGGAACGGAGAGGACGAGGGACTAACACATGAAGCCAGAGCCAGTCGGGCGGAGGCAGCAGGCAGTGGGTTGGGGAGTAAGCAGGTCAGAGAGGTAATAATAATAATAATAATAATCCTTGCATTTGATACAGCGCCTTATCACATCTTTCGAAACGTTTCAAAGCATTTCACAGGATACACTGTAAAGGAATTGACTGTGTATTTTGTGGGCGAAACGTCCACGGAGGTGCCAGGGCCTGAAGGGATTTGTAGACGAGTGAGAGGATCTTGAAGTTGTTCGGTTCTGTGCTCAGGAGCCAGCGGAGCCTGGCGAGGACTGGTGTGATCTGGGGGCACGGAGTTGTGTGCGGGTGACAGTACAAAGTGGCGGCATCTGTTACTGTTCCAGTGTTCAATACCTGAGTGGAGGATCCCAGAGAAAGGGTCGCTGGGGGACAGGCAGAAGGTCTTCTGGGCCCTGCGACCGCAGCGTCTGACCGGCCGATGGACAGAGAGGGGCTCGGGCATCTGCGGCTCCTCCCTGTCAATGGGAGAGCGACGTGTGAGAGAGAGAGAGAGAGAGAGGAGAGAGAGAGAGAGAGAGAGAGAACTCCCGCTCCAGGGACATATATAGGAGGGTTAATGTAGGACTGGAGAGTGAGAGCAGCGCAGACTCATATCAGGGCAGATTGGACACACTTTGGGAGCTTTTCTCTCTGGAGACGAGAGGGTTTTTAAAGACGGATCCAATTGAGGTGTTTAAAATTATGAAACTATTTGATGAAGTGGATGCTGAAGGGGCTGTTTCCGCTGGTTGGCGAGTCTGAAACCCGAGGGTGTGGATATCAGGGAGTCCGTAACAGATCTAACGCAGTGCGGTTAGCAGGAACCTCTTCACAGAGAGGATGGTGAGAGTGTGGAACTCGCCACCAGGAGCTGTGGTTGAAGCAAAAAGTTTCAAGGTGTTTCAGAGGAAACTTGATGTATACCTGAGAGAAAGGGGAATAGAGGGGTGTGGGAGAGGGGAATGGAGGGGTGTGGGAGAGGGGAATGGAGGGGTGTGGGAGAGGGGAATGGAGGGGTGTGGGAGAGGGGAATGGAGGGGTGTGGGAGAGGGGAATGGAGGGGTGTGGGAGAGGGGAATGGAGGGGTGTGGGAGAGGGGAATGGAGGGGTGTGGGAGAGGGGAATGGAGGGGTGTGGAAGAGGGGAATGGGGGTGTGTGGAAGAGGGGAATAGGAAGCGTGTGTGGAGCCCAAATGGCATGTTTCCATGTCATATCGTTCTACGTAACTCTGTGTAACTCGGTGTGTGGTGGTGCTGGAGGGAGGGGAGGGGGTATGTAAGGGGGGGAGAAGGTGACCGTGTGGCTGCCCACCTCTCTCGGCTGCTCTGCTCCCCCACGGCCTCGATGGCACACTCCAGCGAGCTCTGCAGTGACTGAAGCTGCTCCATGGTCTCCCTCAGCAGGAAGCGGGTCACAAACTGCCTGAGGGCCGAGGAAGTCTGGTATTCCTGGGGGCACACGCGCACACAGTCACTACACTCCACCGCAATTCCCCCACAAAGCATTTGGAATGCGTTTATATCAACGACAACAACAACAACAACAACAAGCAAGGTAGCATCTGAGCCGGTGGGCAGGGAACAGAGATACACAGCCCTGCAACTGCAGTGAAGGTGGTAGAGATCCCAGATTCCACCCGGTCTTAGCCTGTGAGACACAGGATCATAGAATATTACAGCACAGAAGGAGGCCATGCGGCCCATCGTGCCAGTGCCGGCTCTACGGAAGAGCCGCCCCATCAGTCCCACTCCCCCGCTCTAACCCCATATCCTTGTAAATGTTTCCATTTCAAGTACTGATTTAAATCCCACCTCGAAAGTTGTTGTTGTTGTTGTTGTTGAACCTGTTTCCACGCGGCTCTAAAAGTTGTTGCGGAAACACTGGACTCGGCCATGAACGCGCAGGGCAGATCTTTCTCGCGTTCCCGGGTATGCGCAATTTCAGACGGAATAAACAACTGCACGGCTGGTTCTGAGAGAGGCTCGGGGGAGGCTCGAGGGGCTGAATGGCCTCCCTCTTCTGCGCTGTAAATTTCTAGGATCTTGTGTGTGTTGGAGGGGGCGGTGGGGTGGGGGGCGTCTGAATTACCTTTTTGGTTTTGTCCATGGCCCCGAGCACCGAGATGTTCAGTTGCTCCAGCGCGGACAGCACACTCTCAAACTCCCCCATGTGCTCGGAAAAATACTCTGCAAACACACACACCACCAACAACAACAACTTGTATTTATATAGAGACCCTCACGCAGGGTAGCGGCCCGGAGCGCTTGATGGTGGCAGAGCCTGACTCCGAGCTGGGTGGGGTGTGGGGGGGCGGGAGGGCTGGGAGGTGAACGTAGGCACGGTCAAACAGGAATATTTTCAGGCTGAAGATGGGGAAGGAAGGGGGCAAGGCGGAGGGATAAGAGGGAGAGAGTTCCAGAGTTTCAGGACGCAGTGGGACAGGGAGCGAGGGACAGGGAAGAAAGAGCCCCTCATCCTCGGTGACTTTGCCGAACTTCCTGACATTCCCGAGAGTTTCCAGAACGCTGATGTAGAGCCACCCCCCCCCACACCACCACACCTCCCCCAGTCACGTCCGTCTGAGTGGCTGATGGATCAGAGTTGACAGGAGCAGCCTTAACCCAACCACACGAAGGAGAGGAGACTAGTTCACAACGAGGAGCAATGGGCAAACAGAGTGCTGGAGAGCCTCCACCCACCTGCCCTCGCTGTGACATCTCCCCCAGGACATCTACCAGTCACTGGGAAGCCTGAAGTGAAATGCCTTGTTAGGGAAGGCCAGCAAAGGGAAGGGAAATGATGGGAAGGGCAGTGAGGAGACTGACTTACCGCACAGCTCTTCAGTATCCAAGTTGCTGCGATTAAACGAGAGCGAATAAAAAAAAATGATATTGGATTATCGGCTCGAGGCTTAAAACCTAACAAATAAACAATCCATGCATTTGACACGGCGCTTTTTACGTCAGGGGGATGTCTCAAAGCCCTTCACGGGTTTATTAATAACAATAATAACAACACTTGCATTTGACACAACGCCTTTCATGTCAGGAGGATGTCTCAAAACACTTCAGACAATAATTATTAATAACAATCATCATCATCCTTGCATTTAATACAATGCCTTATCACATCGTTGCGTGTCTCACTGCGCCTCGTAGGATTTTACTATAAAATAGGAGACCGTGTGTGTGTGTTTTGTCGGCTTTCGCTAGTTCAATTAACAGGAGTTGCCTCTTCATTTACAGTGTCTCAGAGCGCTGAAAATCCAATTAAAATCAAATAATAATTAAAACAAACGTTGGGTTTATTTTTTTCGCAATTCCTTCTGAGCTGGCGTAGAAACGTTAGTCAGAATGTTTGATTATAATAATTATTATTATTATAATGATTATTATTATTTCGCCCATAAAATATACAATCAATTCACTTTACAGCATTACCTGTGAAGCGTTTTGAGACGTTCTGGGACGCTGCCCTGTGTGAGGGGCAATATGTAAATGCAAGTGGCTGTGTTGTTGCCGTCTCAATGGCCTGATAAGGCGTTATATCAAATGCAAGGATTATTATATTATTATTATTATTACACACATTACAAATAACCTTCAGAATATTAACCTTCCAAAAGCGGCTCATCACTGAAGCCCAGATTGCCTGGAGCTTGATGGGGGACGGGGAGGAGGGGAGGAGAGGGGGGTGTGGGGGGAATTGGGTGGTGGTCAGCAGGCAAGTGCGCAGAATGTTAGGTGGCAGCACACAGCTCCCAGGGCCGCTCAATAAATCACTCGTCTCTCAGCCTGATCGCTTCTGACATGGAGCTCTACCAGCTCTGGCCGCCCCCTCCTCACGGCTTGTCAGCGAGGAACCACAGAGTCGCTGTTGGTGTCCGCCAGCAGAGAGGGGTCTGCTCTCTCTCTCTCTCTCTCTCTCTCGCCACGGGATGGCTGTGAACTCCACAAGCAACTTTCCCCAACCTTGACAATCAGTTGATTCTTAATAATAATAATAACAATCCTTGCCTTTGATACAGCGCCTTATCACGTCATTGAGACGACTCAAAGCGCTTCACAGGATATACTGTAAAGCGGAGTGACTGTGTATTTTGGGGGAGGGTTGGAGTGGGAAACTTTCCTGTACGGATCAGCTGTTTAACAGAGAATTCCATGTATCCCAACTATACATGTAAATCCCAGAGATACTTGTTGGGATGGAATGCCCTCTCTCTCGCTCTCTCTCTGGAGGGTTGCATCCTGTTTACTTAATTAGCTGAGACAAAGACGGAGACAGAGACCCGGCATTACTCACTTAGCACACTGCTTATCGATCTCGTGAAAGAGCTCCTGTAGCTCAAAGGAGCCCAGGACGCCATCAGCAAAGTAAGCCTTAAACTCCTCCAGGGACAATTTACCGTCGTCTGTAAGAGAAGACAATTGGAACAGCTCCAAACCCCCCCTACACACAGCCTGATAGACTCTGACGCAGTCAAAGGCAACACAGAGATCAGTTGTCTCTGGTCGACCAGGTGTCTGACCCCTGCAAAATCCCATCCCCATCCCCGTGCTTAAGAGTCTTCGTCCCCAAATTACTGAGAGGTTGGAGGCTCGCGAACATTTCCTTGCAAGGAATGGTCAGGGAGAGCCAAAACTTGTGGGCACCACAGAGTGGCCGTGTCTGTTGTGTACATTTGTGTGTGTGTCTGTATGTGTGCGTCTCTCTTTCTCTATCTATGTGTGTCTCTGTCTATCTCTATCTGTTCGCGTGTGTCTATGTGTGTGTATCTACGCACGTGTATATCTATGTGTCTATGTGTCTCTGTCTGTGTGTGTCTGTGTGTGTGTCTCTCTCTCTGTCTGTATGTGTCTGTGTAAGTGTGTCTACATCTCTGTTTCTCTCTGTCTGTCGGTGTCTCTTTCTCTTTTTTGTGTGTATGTGTATCCATGTCTCTGTCTCTCTCTCTGTCTGTTTCTGTATCTCTCTCTGTCTCTGTCTCTCTCTCTCGATTTATCTAATTCTCTTTAAATTTGACTCAATACCAATAGTCACTTGTGTAGAGTGTTTCACATCCAAATAACCCCTTTGTTTAAAAATAACCCTTCTACTTGACGTCGCTGGTGACATTCACAGCTTTGTGTGGGATTGTTTGTGCCAACCAGCAAGCCTGCATTAGTGACTAACTCTTTGAATCATATGACACAATGGTAGAGTGGGTTAATCAGCCTTTAATTGGAAATCAACCAGAAAAGAGAGACATGTGAGACAGAGACAGGGAACGTGAGAGAGAAAGTGAAATGAGAGTGTGAGAGTGAAAAGAGAATGTGTGAGAGAGAGAGAGAGAGAGAGGGGGAGTAGAACGTGACCAAACAAGAGAACACAGGAGAATGACAAAGTGAGAGGGGGAGGGAACCAAAAAGAGAAAGGGGGGAGAGAGAGAGTGAGTAAGTGAGTGGATGGAGGTGTATTGGCGTGTGGAGTAAGGAAACTTGCCGAAGGTTTTGCCCCGCCCGGGAATCAAACCCTGGTCCTCGCACCTGCGAGGCGAACGCTCTAACCAACAAGCTAGTTTGGTTCTCACCTGAGTTGGGGTACAATCATAGAATCGTAGAATTGTACAGCAGAGAAGGAGGCCATTCGGCCCATCGTGTCTGTGCTGCTCTTTGAAAAGAGCTTCCAAATCTATCCCACTCCTCCGCGCTCTCCCCAGAGCGCTGCAAACTTGTCCTCCCCAAATATCTATCTAATTCTCTCTTGGAAGTTGTTATCGAATCGGCTTCCCCCACCCTTCAGGCAATGCGTTCCAGATCCCAACAACTCGCTGTATGAAAAAAATTCTCCTCCCCTCCCCTCTGTTTCTTTTGGCAACTATTTTAAATCTGAGTCCTCGGGTTACCGCCAGTAGAAACACTTTCTCTCTGTTCACCGTATCAAATCCCCTCATCATTTTGAACACCTCTATTAAATCTCGCAGTAACCTTCTCTGCTCCAAGGAGAATAATCCTAACTTCTCCGGCCTCTCATAAGGATTTGAAGATCACTTCATTGGAACCGTAAATAAACACAGCCCTGACTGGCTGCACGCGGGAAATCATTGTGATGTGAAGGGTTCCAAGGTCGGATCCTCTCTTCTGTCCATCCGTCTCCCATTTCTTCTCCCCATCCCCCATTCCCCGTCCCCTCGCCCCACAAACTGGGAAGAAACGAAGGGGAAACATTGTCTTATCTACTCACCGTTCTTATCTGCTCTGCGAAAAATCTGTAAGAGATCAGAGACCAGGTAAGTGTTGATGGGCGGAGCCACGGCTAAGTTGGTCACTACGGACAATGAGGCCACTCGGGAGAGAGGGACTGGATCCCAATCGGACAACAGCCTCGAGAAACGTGCCAATCCGGGGCTGAAATTTGCGGCTTTTGGCAAATATTCCTAGCATTTGTTATGGCGCGAGGAAAGCTGACTAACAACCTGGTTCCTACTTACTGCTGAGTAAGCAGAAAGAGGCGTGTGGAGTAAGGAGACTTGCCTAAGGATTCGCCCTGCCTGGGGATCAAACCCGGGTCCCATCTGTGCCAGTTCAGGTGGATGCTAAAGATCTATGCGCTATTCGAAAAGAGAAGGGGTTTTCTCTCTCTCTCCCTGTGTCCTGGTCAACAAGCCCCCAAATAAAATTGATCACTCACTCGATTTTTGTGGGACATTGCTGTGTGCAAACTGGCTGCTGTGTTTCGCCCATAAAATACGCAGTCTCTACAATTTGCAGTGCATCCTGTGAAGCGTTTTGAGACATCTCAATGACGTGATAAGGCGCTGTATCCCATCCAAGGATCATTATTATGATAGTTTTCTCACGTGCGAGGAGAGCGGGCTAACCATTACGCTAAGGACTCCCTGTCTCTCTCTCTCTCTCTCTCCCCCACTCCACACTCCACCCCTCTCTCTCCTTTCCCCCCTTTCCATCCCTTCCTCACTCACTCTCCCCTATTTTTTAACAACTGCTAAATACGACTGTGCATTGATGTTAAATCTAATCTAAGACACGGGAGGGGAGGGAGGAGGGAGTCAGGCTCTGTCACTCAGCCTATCTCCGTTATTAAAGTCACAGTAAAGACACGATCATTAATTAAAGGCCCGTAGAGAGTCTTGGCGACTGCTGCTGATGTCAGGCTCACAGTTGACAAAGGCGTCTGCGACTCCGAAGGTCACACACACTACAAGTCGCGATGACTCACCCATCACCAAATCAAGAGAAACCTCACAAAAAAACGAGGATGTGGGATTTAAACTCCTATTTGCAGAGCTGCGAGACGTCTCAAAGCACCTCTCAATAATTAGCAACTGGTGTAGTGTGTGGACGAACGCAGCAGCCAATTTGCACACAGAGAATTCCCACAAAAATTCCCTGTGTATCCTGTGAAGCGCTTTGAGACGTCTCGACGACGTGACAAGGCCCTGCATCAATTGCAAGGATTATTATTATTATTATAATTATTATCAAGGGAGTTTCTCCTCAGGTTCCCGGCCAAGAATCCTCCAGACAGTTTGTTGAATGATCGGCTGTGTGTGGGGTCTCGCTGTGAGCTCTTTGGCTGTTGGGACCCGGGGGTTAATGCTCGCTCCTGGTGAGCCGCTCATGGTGCAAACCCCTTGACTGTCCAGCGTCTGGGGACGTCCTCCCCACGTGACGGGCGCTGTGTAAATGTCATTTGTTTGTTGTTGTTGGTTCCTCTCCTGTTACAGGTGTCCACGTTGAGCCCGAAAGTCAGTGGGTAACTCAGGTCAACAGACTCCAGCAGCTGGTTGACCGGCTGGAGTGGAAGGTAACACTGAGCTAACACTGGACTTAGTCTAACGTACACAGGGATTAGGTCAACGATAATAATACAGAGCGTCCACCAAGTCCTGTTACACAACAGGGATACGAGACTATGAAACAGGCGTCAGAACGCATTTCGCCTCCTCACTGACTCCATTCATGTCACGGGAAGTGTGACACCGAACATGGCGATGGCTCATTATCTGCCATGAAAATGATGGCACTCACACACACACACACATACAAATACACGCACGCACACATGTACACAAACACACATGCACACAAACACATGAGCACATACACGTGCACACACACACACACACACACACGTTTCTGTTGTTGGTCAGTAGTGCACTGTAGAGAAACCAAAACTTGGGGGTAACAGGACTTTGTGAACACCCTGTGCACATCTGTTTGTAATCATCACAGCGTAAACATGACCACCTTTGCCCACATGGCACACACGCCCACTCCACTTTACAGTCTATCCTGTGAAGCGCTTTGAGACGTCGCTCCTGACTTGAGAGGCACTGTACAGTACCAAATCTAAGGCATGTTATTTATGTTATTACTAAATTCCCAGTCGCAGGGGTATGAACGGGAGAGGAAAAAATCCCAAATATTTTATATGTTTTAGAATCCCGGGCGAGGGCGAAACATTGGGCAAATTTCCTTACTCCACACGCCTCTGTTTACCCAGAAGTAAGTAGGAACCCGGTTGTTAGTCAATGGCGGATCACATTTCCGGGGTTAATAATCCCTTCAAAAAAAATGTGGTCACTCAATCCACGACTGTTTGTGGGACATCGCTGTGCGCAATGAACACCTTTCGCCCACAAAATATACAGTCTTCATAATATATTCTGTGAAGCACTTTGAGACTGAGAGACAGAGATTGACAGAGACGGAGACTGAGAGACAGAGACTGACAGAGACAGAGACTGAGAGACAGAGACTGAGAGAGACAGAGATTGAGAGACAGAGACAGACACAGGGTCAAAATTCAACAGAACAGCGATGAAAGTCAACGTCTGATATTGAACACTTTGAGAGAGAAAAATACAGCCTCAGACCCCGAGCTGTCTGTGTCCCTCAATCACCAGAGGGAAACCATCTCAGCTCCGACCTTCAGAGGGCAATAGGGAGACATTACTGCAGCTAATCAGCACCTCCCGGCCACACTGTGGGGAGATGGCAATTTTCCTCTAAGCAAACCCCACACCCCCGCAACCCCCTCTCCTTACAACACCCCCACCACCCCACAAGCCTCCCTACCCACCCCCCCACCGCTCCCCCCCACCCACAGCTTTAGGATGTACATTAACAATAGCACAATCTCTGAGCTCAGCAGTTACAAATAGAACTGTTCCCCGGCAATAACTGTAGTGACTGTGCTTGTGTTAATGATAATAACAATCCTTGCAATTGACTTAGCGCCTGATCACGTCGTCGAGACGTCTCAAAGTGCTTCACAGTTGCACACAACAAACAGTCATGGACTGGTGACCAATTTTTTTGATTTGGGGGATTGTTGGCCAGGGACACCGGGAGAGAGAAGCTCTCTTCTCTTTTCCAATAGCGCTGCAGGATCTTTATCATCCACCTGGTCAGGCAGACAGGGAGCTCAGTTTAATGTCTCATCCAAAGGATGGCACCTCCAACAATGGAACAGCCCCCCAGTCCTGCACTGGAACATCAGCTGAGACTGTGTGATTCCAAGTCCCAACGTGAGGGCTTGAACCCACAACCTTCTGACTCGGAGGCGAGAGAGAGAGAGAAAGAGCGAGAGAGCACTACCACTGAGCCAGGCTGACACACGGTGATATTACATACGATTATTATCTATTTAACTGTGTTATTATTTTAGTGATAACACAGCAAGCGAGGGCTGAAAGGAGCGCCTTTTCATCTCCGCACATCACAGCGCATCCAACAGTGTTTCCCTTAGCAACCGTCCCCGCTCCGCCAGCGTGCGAGCGCACAAACCAATTACTGGAAGATGTTTGCACTCGTCAAGTCCCTGCCGTCAGCGAGACTCTTTCATCATCTCCGAGACACCGTGACAGTGACAGCATCACTGTCAGACAGCCTCGCTCCATTCCCACATCGCCAACCCCCCACTCCCTCACTCCCCAACCCCCAATTCCCCCCCACCCCACCCCACTCTGATCCTCATTCAAAACTATTTACTTAGAATTCGAGCCTCTCTGTTTCCCCAGCTGGAAAATGCCAGGCACAGACCGGCTTATTTGGTAGATGTTTCTTATGATATCAAAATCATAATTAATAATAATAATTCTTCTGTTTGGAATCGCCTCTTTCACATCCCAAAGCACTTCACGTGAATCACTATACAATGTATTTGTGATTCGTACTAATAATAATATTCAAAATAATAACAATAATCCTTACATTTGCTATATCATGTTGAGACGTCTCAAAGCGCTTCACACGATACAATGTATATTCACGGGATGTATATTTTGTGGGCGAACCGCGGCAGCCAATTGCACACAATAATGTCCCACAAACAATCGTGAATTGTGTGACCATATTATTATTATTTATTTGGGGGGGGAGGGATTATTAAACCCCAAAAGCAATCAGCCAATTGACTAACAACCGTGTTCCTACTTACTGCTGGGTAAACAGAGGCGTGAGTGTAGAGTAAGGAAACTTGGTTAAGGTTTCCTGCCGGGAATCGAACCCGGGTCCTCTCGCTTGCGAGACAAGCGCTCTAACCACTACACTACAGGGTTCCACAGGACTCATAGCATGCACAAGGTGGGGAGGGGGCTAGGAGGCTCCCTGTTCACTTGGATGGTGACAGATGGCGCAGCAGATGCTGTGGTCCTGTGGCTGCCCACGAGGCTCACATCGACGCATCAAATCTCGGGGGTGCAGAAACAGCAGACCCAGCAAAGGAGAGAGGGCTGTCAGGGCCAGGGGACAGAAGGAGCGGGCGAAGGGGGCGTTTTTGTTTAATTAATGGGGGTGGCGTTGGTGGGGGAGGGAGGATGAAAGAGGGCCGCAGTGACTAAAGGTTTGGTTGCCAATGGTGGTGAGGAAGGAACGTGAAGACAGAGAAGGCATCAGCACTCTTGTTTGCACAGCCTCACCAGTGGGTGACATTTCCATTCCCACGAGTGTTACCTTAATAGCCTGCCAATGGGAACGGCTGAGTCAGTGGCAATTAGTGAGGAGTTTAACAGCAGTCTCTGTGTAATAAGCCCAAGGATATTCATCGGGCACTGAGATTGCGCACTGCATCCAAACAGGCAACCACTTAAACCCCGCATTGTTTTTTCATACAGCGCCTTATCAAGTCGGAAAAATGTCTCAAAGTGCTTCACAGGAAATAGTGTAAAGTGTATTTCTAAGCAAATGCAGTCACCCAATTGCATACAGCAGTGTCCCACAAACAGCCATGGAGTCAGTGACCAAATTTATTTGGGGGATTGCTGACCAGGACACCGGGAGACAGAAATTCCCTATTCTCTTTTCGAATAGCTTCATGGCATCTTTAACATGTAACTAAACAGGCACAGATAGGATCTTGGTTTAACGTCTCATCCGAAGGACGGCATCTCCGACAATGTAGAGTGTGAGAACAGAGAGGGGGAGAGCGAGGAGTATGAGGCAGCGAGTGGGGGGGAGGAAGAGTGAAACTTGAGAGATCGAGGGAAAGAGGAAGTTAATTGAGAGCGAGTGGGGGAGTGAGGGAGAGAGAGATCTTAAGCAAAGCTAACATCAGTGTTTTCCCCTGTGTGTAAAACTTGCAATACAAACAGAAATGTTTTGATGGCAAGACTTCAACTCAACTGAGCCGAGCTGGGCAGAGAGAGAGAGAGATTTCACCTCAGCTCCCAGCCCCTGATCACGCTCAAACCATCAAAGCTTAAACCCCTGGTTCAGCTCAGCTCAGCTCATCAACACTCACCATTAAAATAAACACTCCCCAAAGTAATAAGGGATAACGATAATAATAATAAACCTTGCATTTGATACAGCGCCTTATCACGTCTTCGAGACGTCTCAAAGCCCTTCACAGAATGTGCTGTAAAGTGTAGCGACTGTGCGTTTTGTGGGCGAAACACGGCAACCAATTGCGCACGGCAGCGTCCCACAAAACAGTCGTGGATTGAGTTTCCAAATTTTTTTTATTTTGAAGGGATTATTACCCCTGGAAAGTGATCCACCAATCGACTAACTTCCTACCTACTGCTTGGTAAACAGAGGTGTGTGGAGTAAGGAAACTTGGCTAAGGTTTTGCCCCGCCCGGGAATCGAACCCGGGTCCTCTCTCTGGCGAGGCGAGCGCTCTGACCACTGACGCTGGCGAAACGGACAGTGTCGGCGTCCGCCGGTGAGCGCGGTAACTTCTACTCACGTCAATGAAGCCCGGGAGCCTGACTGGCAGTGGCTTGCCAGGGCGACGGTCCTTGTATTTAGCCGCCTGCAGACACATGGTGATCATTTCGGTGCAAGACATCATCTCGGGACAGGATTGGAGACCAGAGGATCAGCGAACGAGAGCGAGAAAGAAAGAGAGAGAGAGAACGAGAGAGAGCAAGTAGAAAAACGCACGCACGCCCACTTCCGTGCTCGCTCACCACACACTCGCAGAGCGAGACGTCAACAAGTAGATATCAAAAACCCCCAAAACTCAAATACCTAAACAATTTTGCCCGACGTTAAATTTTTTTGAAAAATTCACTCAGTTATCTCGTGTGTGTGCTCTAAGGCATGACACCTCACCGTGCCTCGGTCTGTGTGCGTGTGTGTGTGAATGACTGCAGATTACTGCCTATCTGGTACAGAGAAAGATTCTCTCTCTCTATCTCTCTATCTGCGGCTTTCTCTCATTTCTTCTCTCCCATCCTTTCCTCTCGCTCCTCACTGATCTGATCACTGAGCAGCAATGCACCATCAATGCTACTTTCATCCTCCCAGTGCCCACCCCCTCGCTCACCATCCATTGGCTCCCACGCTGTGTTTGCTCTGGACCTCCTGTGGGCTGTTTGTCTGTCGGTCACAGCAGGCTCGGGCAGGTGGGGGTGGGAGGCGTTCGACAAACACACAGTCACTCCACTTTACAGCAAATCCCGTGAAGCGGCGCTTGGAGACGTCTCGACGACATGATAACCCGCTATATCAAATGCAAGGAATATTATAATTATTATTTCAAGTGCAAGGATTATTATTTATTATGATCCCAATCCCCTCTTCCCCCAACCCACCCCCACAGCACCCAGACACAAACCCACCCTTTTAAATGTACAATTTTCCCCCTCTTTTTAAATTAGTTGTCAAATAGCAGGGTTTTTTGTCAATCACTTAGGAAAACTCTTCAATCGCTGCAGGGAGAAAGACACAGCCACACAGCAGCCACTCACTGCCTGAATTTATTATCTGTTATCATGTTTATTATCTAATATCTAATATAGGGTTCTGCCTGTTTAGGCAGACATTAAACATATATCTTGCAGCACTGTTCAACTCATTACAGATAATAATGCTAATAATAATAATTCTTGCATGTGATAGAGCGCCTTATTCTGTTGTCGAGACGTCTCAAAGTGCTTCCTAGAATATACTGTAAAGTGTAGTGACTGTGTATTTTGTGGGCAGAACACGGCAGTCAATTGCGCACAGCAGTGTCCCACAGTCGTGGATTGAGTGACCACATTTTTTTGGGGGGGTGTGTTGGTGGGGACTGTGAAGAGACTCAGCTATTTACAAGGTCCAAAAGGAGTCCCTCCCCGAAATCAACAGCAACCCTCACCGCCTCCCCCCCCCCCCCATAACATACGACCAGAGCTTCCAAGGAGTTTTAAAAATACTTTTATTTCCTCTTTCATATTGAAACTATATACAATCAATATACATTATGTACAGAGAGCAGGGGTGGTGGGGGGGGGGGACCACCTCCTGAAACTGAAGCTTTTATAACATTCAACCAACTCCAGAAGGTTTGAGCGAGAGAAAAAGAGAAAGCATGGCCCCAACACACCCCTTACGTGAGAGACCACCCTCTCTCTCCCGCACAATCCCCCCACCACACACCCCAACTTCAACACTTTCAGTCTTAGCCAAGAGAATGAGCCCCAACCTGTGATGTTCAGAAATGGGGTACAAAGCCCTGACCAGGTGTCTAATTTGCTGTCTTTAACACATGATCTTTGTAAAACAGCTCGTTGGGAACAAGCGGACAGGGAGGCAAACAGCGAGGGAGGTGGTGGAGGGGGAACACCATGGGGTCATTCTTCCCATTCAGCTCTCAGGAAACACTGCAGCCAGAGCGCTGTGGGCAGGGTGGTCCTCGCTGGACAAGCAGTAGGTAGCGAGCCAGTGCCCAATGATGAGGTGAAGTGAGTTAAACTCCAGTGGTTACCCCCCCTCCAACCACCAAAGCACATACTGGATTTCCCCCCGCCCTCGCCAAAGCCTTTTGCCAATTTACATTGTAATTCTCTGGGATTAAGGTGTGAGCAAGGTGCGTATCCCCGTCCAGAGAGATAAAATGAAGAGGGGGGAGGGAGGGAAGGGGAGAAAAGAGAGAGGGAGACAGAGACACACACACATACAGATGGAAAGAGAGAGACAGAGGGAGAGATTGAGAGACAAAGAGAGACACACAGGGTCAGAATTCAATAGAACAGCAGTGAAAATCAACGTCTGGTATTCCCAGAGCGAGTTCAGACTTGGGACCTGCTAAATAAACACATGAACTCACAACACCAACAAAACTACATTTGTATAAGGGCTTTTCACGTCAGGAGGACATCCCGAGGTGTGTCCCAATAGTTTAAGTTGGGAGGTTCTCAAGCCACGAAGACACTCGGCTGAAAGAGCAAAAACCAAACAGAAATAAAGAACTTGTTAGTCTCAATTTGTGAATCGGAGAAATGTGTGAACGGCCAGAGAGCCAACACCAAGCCCCCACCCCCCCTCCCACACCAGGTTCACTCTCAGGCTGACCAAACCCATGGTGAATACTGGCACCATCTGGTGGCTAGACAGAGACCACCACATGGCAATTTATGGGGCATTTCATACAGTCATCCTTGCATTTGATATAGCATCTTATCATGTCTTTGAGACATCTCAAAGTGCTTAACCCAAGCACATTGACCTCCCCGCTCTCCCCACACCCCCCCCAAACACACACACCAAGCAGCCCAATCCATCCCCATCACAAGGCCTCACCTATGCCGGGGGGTGGGGACGATGGGAGAAAAGGGAGGCAAGAGGATGAGAAGGAAGTCATATCCAACAAGCTCTTTGGGTACATCCCCCTGACATGAAAGGTGCTACACACTACAGGATAAGAGGAATAAATTGTATTGCCCCACAAAATAGAAAGAGAGCAGCTTTCAATCCCATAGGTTTTTGTACAAGTCCAAATTCCGCCCTTCCCCCACCCCCGCAAAAAAATAGGCTAGAGACAGCCCAGGCTCCCCACCTCCAGGCTGGTGTGAGGGGAGTAATAGTGGTGAGATTTTGGAGTGGGGGGGAGGTGGGGGAAGGGAAGTACAGACTTTTTAAAAAATATCTTGACTCCGTAGATAAGGTAAATATCTAAAAAGGAGTGATCTGCAGGCAGTACGGGGTGGGGCGAAGGGAGGGAGAGGGTGGGGGAGAAGGTCAGGAGGGGCAAAGAGAAAGGGCAGGGGTAAACAGATCTGAAAGGATTGCTTTTAAAAGAGGTGGTTGACACGATGGGCCAAATGGACATCTTCTGTGTCTTCTGTTTAAATTTCTACGGTTTAAAAAGCTTTCTGCAGAATGGAAAGCAATATCTTGGTGGTGTTTTTGTTTTCTTTTGGTCAAACATCACTATCCAGAACTCGCGCTCCCCACCACCGCCCCCCGTCTAAAACCACCGCTGATTACTCTTTGGAGACAACACTTCCCACCCCCAAACTAACACTTCCCACTGACAGCCAGAGGAGGTCTGGATTTCATAGAATTATACAGCACAGAAGGAGGCCATTCGGCCCGTTGTGTCTGTGCCAGCTCTTTGAAAAGAGTTTCCAAATCAATCCCACTCCCCCGCGCTCTCCCCATAACCCTGCAAACTCATCCTCCCCAAATAATTATCATCTTCTCTCTTAAAAGCTGTTACCGAATCGGCTTCACAGATAAAACCGTGTGGACACAGACCGAGACTCACACTGAGCAGGTTGGGGTGGGGTTGTAAACCAATGGAGGATATTGTTTTTAAGAAGCAAAATGTCAATTAATTAATCAATTAATTAATAATAAAGAGCCAATGAAATAGAAACAGGAGAGGATATTGGGCAAGGAACCAGGAAGTGTGGGTTATGGTTAGGAGTGTTGTAATGTCGTGACCCGGGAAATAAAGAATTACTTCGTATGGGCTATTATGTGACATTTGTTCTGTCTATGCCCACAAACACACACACAGGAACAAGAAAGATATATTCTAGATGAGAACGGGTCAGGGAATTCTAGAGAGGATGGGGGCAGAGATTTTATTGTGGAATGTGTAGAAAATAATTAAGGATTCAGAGGAGAGGGTGTGGATATCAATCAAGCTATACCCCCCTCCCCCGGCAAGGAAAATCATTCATAAAGTGCTAAGTGCATTGGGATGGACGGACAGAGGGGTGGGGGCGGGGCGGAGAGGGAAAAAGACTGGTCAGTAAATGCTGGCTGGTCAACACCTGGGAATGGTACAAGAGGGAACACGGGGAAAATACAACAACAAAATTACATTTGTATAGCACCTTTCACGTCGGGAGGACGTCCCAAGGCGCTGGACAGTCAGTGTTTTGAGGGTTTTAAGGGGGAATGGGGGNCCTGTAAAGGCGGGGGGAGGGGAGGGTCGGAGAAAGTGGCTTTGAGGAAAGCAGGAAAGATTAAAAGTCCAGAGGCGGGAGCGCATCGAAAAGCTCACTGATGCCCTCGCTCTCGTCCAGCCCGAAGTGATAGTCCTGGAAGAGCGGGGGCGACAAGCTGACAAACGCCCCCCCGAAGGGCCCGGCCCCCGGCAGGTCCTCGTCCTGGTGCAGAGCGGCTGCCGCGGTCAGGGGCGAGAGAGTGACGGACGTCGAGGGCAACAGCAACGCCTCTGCCAAGGGAAAAGGCTCTGGTGTTAGTCAGGAGGACGGTTGCAACCTCCGCGCCTGCCCTCCCACCCTCCCTCCCTCCCGACTCAGGACAACTTTCCTCAGCCCCGGAATGTGGTCCATGAGCTCAGACACAACTTCCCGCATGCGATAGAACAAGCAGCAATTTTTTTTCTCTCTGGGCAACAGCTGGACTGGCGCCACACGCGGGCCAGCTTCCTGCGCGCGCACGCGCGCGAGCACTGTGCACAGGAAGTGCCGAGTTTGCGCTTCGCAAGGGAAGTGATGTCAGCGGCGGCCCGATGACCGACCCGGGCAGCTCTGAGAGAAACCGAGATACGATGCACACCTGGCTCGTTACTCGCTGTTGAGAGGTTGGGGCCCTGGAAGGTATTGGTGAACAGTTCCTGAACGGTCACTCTGTACGGGCTGGTCTTCACCGGGCTGACCTTCACCGGGCTGACAGTGGTCTTCACAGGGCTGCAAGCGCTCGAGCCCTCCTCAGGGCAGAGGAAGACTTCAACAGGCCCTTTGGTGCTTTGTAAGGAAATCTGAAGGGCCTGGATACACACACACACACACACACACACACACACCAACGCATAAGACACACAAACACACACACAACACATAAAACACCCAAACACACACACACACCCCCAACGCATAAGACACCCAAACACACACACAACACATAATCACACACACACCCAATACATAAGATACACAAACAGACACACAACGGACAAAGACCGGGATACGAGAATAGGGTTAGAGATTCCTTCTCTCTTGAATATGATCAGCACAAGATGAGTAAATTAATAACAACAGCAATAATAATCCTTGCATTTGATACAGTGCCTTATCACGTCGTCAAGATGTCTCAAAGCGCTTCACCAGGATGCACTGTCAAGTGGAGTGACTGTAGCAAAACACAGCAGCACAGTTGCACACAGCAGCGTCCCACACACAGCAGCGTGAAGCGAGTGACCAATTTTATCTGGGGTGGGGGGGCTGTTGGCCAGGACACCGGGAGAGAGAAACTCCCTTTACTTGAACATCACTGCGAGATCTTTAACATCCACCTGAACAGGCAGACGGGAGTGAGGTTTAACATCTCATCCGAAGGACGGCACCTCCAACAAAGCTCCTGCTCCACCACATCAAACAAAAATTTGCCGATGTTCTGCCCTCCCCCCTCCACCCCTCTCCCCTCACCTCATTGGGGTTAGTGACCTGCAGGCGGGTGTCGGCCGGAGCCTTGATGACCATCACCATCTCCTGCGAGAAGTTCTCGATGCTGCGCAGGTCCTGGCAGGTCACGTACGCAAACGTGGAGCGAAAAGATGTCAAGGAGCAGGTTGGGTACCAGTGTTTGAGGGGAGGGGTTGGGGGGGGAGGGGCAGGCTTCTCTCAGACAGGACCAATCTGTCTCCCACTCTCACCATCTCTCCCCCCCCCCCACTCCAAGCTGAGCCGTGCCGCACGCTGTGAGCCCCCTGTAAGGATATCTCTGGCCCTCTGAGTCCTCAGTCAGCAGTTTGAGCTGTAAGGTGCAGCTCTTGATCAGCTCCTCCAACTGTCGCTCCGTGTCGTCCAGCTCGGCAATCTCCCTGAGCAGCACTGGGTCCTGGGTGTCAGCCTCCCCGGCTCTGGGCTGCTTCCCTCCCCTGAGAGTGAGTGAGTAAGAGAGGGAGGGAGGCAGTGAGAGAGCGAGCGAGCGAGGGGGTCGGTCGGTATAATAATAATCCTTGCATTTGATATAGTGCCTTTTCATGTCTTTGCGACGTCTCAAAGTGCTTCACATGATATACTGTAAAGTGTAGTGACTGTATTTTGTGGGCAAAACACAGCTGCCAATTTTCGTGGATTGAGTGAACAAATTAGTTAGCAACTCGCATGCTGGCACACAGCATTAACTCACTATACACAGCGAGCGATCTCTTGCCTCCCAGACTATGCAAACTACCCGTTCAGGCAGCCGCTAAAGAATCGCGGGACCTTAGTGGAAAAAGAGCTGGGAGCTTCTCCCGGTGTCCAAACAAAATGATACAGGATTCAGAACGTCAGGGTAAACAGCGGGAAGACAGCTTGCACTAGGTGATCAGTCACAAGGAGACTTGTGTCCTGAAATGCTAACTCATGAACTGAGTTAGTGACTACAGTAAAACTCACATCCGTCTTATCTTTATAAATCGTGTGATTGCCCGAGCCATACATTCACCTGAGTCCCATTCAGTTTCCTATCAAAACCGCTTTGATTTCTTGGCACCAGTCGTGTTGATCACTTCCTAAGCCGCTCCCTTACTCTCCATTATTAACCGCGGGTCATCAACAGGTAGACGGCACCTTGATTTAACATCTCATCCAAAGGACAGCAGCTTTGACAGCACACAGCCCTTTCCCCCCCACTCGCTCTCTCTCCTCCTCCCCCCCACATGAGCGAGCCTGACTTACATCCACTGGATGTGGTTCTTGGATTTCTTGGTGATGAGTTTGATGCCCTCCAATACGTTGGTAATATCGTAAATGCGGCGTTTCTGCACCTCCAGCACCTGGGCCGCCCAGTTCAGGTCCAGAACCCCGTCCGCACACTGGCCCAGCAAGTGGATAAAGCGCTTGGTGATCAGGCTGAGAGAGGCGTCATAGCGAGTTTTCTCACAGGGCGATTTCAGACCTAGACAGAGAGAGAGCAGAGAGAGGGAGTGAGAGAAAGAAAGAGGGAGTGTGTAAGAATGAGAGCGTGGGAGTGAGAGCGAGAGAGATCAAAAGAAAGAGGGAGACAGCAAGGAGAGAGAGAGAGAGAGAGAGGGGGGGGAGGAGTGAGGAGATTTAGTGAGGATGTTGAAATCGATCGGTTCGGGATAGGGAGCCAGTGGCAAACTCGCGAGACCGTGACCTTCAGCCCGAGCCGGGCACGAACGCTGTACCTCTCCCTGAAGATTTCCCTTTGCCTTTAGGGGTCTCCATCTCCAGGGGGAGATATTGGTGATCGCTCTCCAGGTCCAGCTTCCTCTTCACCTGTGGGTTGGGTGAGTGGGGAGAGAGAAGAGGAAATAAAACAGGGATAAATTGCACCGAGGTTCCCAATCAGACAATTACCGCGAAAGACCCTCCTCTGTGCTGATCCCCACCTTTGGAACTCCATCCCACAATCCCTTCGCCTCGCTCCCTCCCTTGCCTCCTTCACGGCACGACTCAAGACCTTCCTTTTCAACCATGCCTTCAACCGCCCTCCTACCTCTCTGCCCCCCTCACCCCAACCGTGGCAACCCCCCCACGCTCGGGATCTGATCCCCGACTGTTCAGTGCCTTGGGTCGCCTTCCCAATTTGAAAGGCACTTTACAAATGTAATGTTGTTGTTGTTGATTTCGGCTGGGAAAGCAGTTGGGTGTAACTGGTAGCCTCGGCATCCTTGGGCTAGGGAACAGGAAAATATCCACCCCCTCCTGTAACTCCTGCGTCGACCCACACACCCCCAATTAGCTGGAGTCTAACCATCCATAAGACCATAAGACGCAGGAGTAGGCCTTTTGGCCCCTCGAGCCTGCCCCACCATTTAATAAGATCATGGCTGATCTTCTAACCTAATTCCATTTACCCGCCCTATCCCCATATCCCCTTAAACTCTATCCTTCAGAAATCTATCAACTTCAGTCTTGAATATGTTCAAGGACTTCCACAGCCTTCTTGGGTGGAGAATTCCACAAATTCACTATCCTCTGAGTGAAGAAATGTTTCCTCAACTCAGTTTGAAAAGGCTGACCCTTAATCTTGAGACTATGACCCCTAGTTTTAAATTCTCCAACCAGGGGAAACAGTCTCACAGCATCTCCCCTGTCAAGACCCTTTAGAATCTTACAGGTTTCTATAAGATCACTTCTAATTCTTCTATTTTCTAGAGTATATAGGCCTAGTTTACTCAACCTCATATGTCAAATCCCTCATCCAAGGAACCAAACTAGTGAATCTACGCTGCACCCCCTCTAAGGCGAGTATATCCTTTCTTAAATAAGACCAAAACTGCACACAATATTCTAGGTGCAGTCTCACCAAGGCCTTATACAACTGCAGCAAGACTTCCCTACTATTCTACTCTAATACCTTTATTAATGAAAGCTAACATGGCATTTGACTTCCTAGTTGCTTGCTGTACCTGCATTCTAATTTTTTGTGACTGGTGTACAAGGACACCCAAATCCCTCTGAACACTAACACTATCTAGTCTCTCCTCCTCTAGAAAATAATCTGCTTTTCCATTTTTACTACGTAGGTGAATAACTTCACACTTCCCCATGTTATACTCCATCTGCCACTTTCTTGCCCACTCGCCTAACCTGTCTATTTCCCTTTGCATTCTTCATGTGTCATCCTCACAGCTTACTCTCCCACCTATCTTTGTATCATCCGCGAATTTAGATATATTAATTTCTATTTCCTCATCTAAATCATTGACATAGACTGTAAATAATTGAGGCTCAAGCACTGATCCTTGTGGCACTCCACTAGTTACATCCTGCCAATCTGAGAAGGACCTGTTTATCCCTACTCTCTGTTTTCTTCTCCTGTTAGCCACTCTCCAATCCATGCTAATATATTGCCTTTAATTCCATGGGATCTAATCTTATATAACAGCCTTTTATGTGGCACCTTGTCGAATGCCTTCTGGAAATCCAAATATACCATATCTACTGGTTCCCCGCTATCTAACCTGCTGGTTACATTCTCAAAAAACTCTGTAAGATTTGTTAAACATGATTTCCCTTTCGTAAAGCCATGTTGACTGCCTAATCATGTTATGATTTTCTAAGTACCCCACGACGACGTCCCTAATTAAGGACTCTAGAATTTTCCCTACCACCGATGTCAGACTAACTGGTCTACAGTTCCCCATTTTTTGTCTCCCACCCTTCTTAAATAGCGGTGTTACGTTTGCGACCTTCCAATCACTGGGAACCATTTGAGAATCCAGGGAATTTCGGAAGATCAAAAACAAAGCATCCACTATGTCCGCAGCCGCCTCTTTTAAAACCCTGGGATGCAGGTCATCAGGTCCAGGGGATTTATCGGTTTTTAATCCTATCAATTTCTCTAGTACTATTGCTTTACTGATGTTCATTTCTTTAAGTTCCTCACTAACATTAGCCACCAGGTTCCCCTCTATTTTCGGTAAGTTTTGAGTATCCTCTAACGTGAAGACAGAAGCAAAATATTTGTTTAATGACTCTTGCCATTTCTTTATTCCCCATTATAATTGCTCCTGTCTCTGGCTGCAATGGACCCACATTCACTTTTGATAGTCTCTTCCTCTTTATGTACTTGTAAAAACTCTTACAATTTATCTTTACGTTCCTAGCTAGTTTACTCTCGTATTCCATTTTCTCTCTCTTAATCAGTTTCTTGGTTTTCCTTTGCTGTTCTCTGAAGCCCTCCCAATCCTCGGGTTTACTGCTCTTTTTGGCAGCATTATAGGCCTCTTCTTTTAATTTTATACTTTCCCTAACTTCTCTAGTTAGCCAAGGTTGAACCACTTTTCCCGTCGTATTTTTATTTTTCAAGGGTATATGTGATCACTGGGAATTATGTATTATATCTTTAAACGTTTGCTATTGCTGGTCTACCGTCATATTTTTTAATCTAATTTCCCAGTCTATTTTAGCCAAATCTTCTCTTATACCTGCAAAGTTGGCTTTATTTAGATTTAAGACCCTTGCTTCGGATTGGACTATATCATTCTCTAACTTAATGTTAAGTTCCATCATGTTATAGTCACTCTGCCCGAGAGGAGCCTTAACTTCCAGATTGCTGATTCGCCCCATTTCGTTACACAAAACAAGATCTAGGAGAGCTCCCTGGTTGGTTCCTCAGCATATTGTTCTAGAAAACTATCTCTAATGCATTCTATAAACTCATCCTCTAATTTACCGTTGCCAATTTGGTATTCCCAGTCTATATGAAGACTTAGTATTCCCAGTCTATATTTAAAGCAGTCTGCCATTCAAAGCACTGTCCGCCAAGCTTTCCCGCTGCTTGTCCAGCTGGGAAGCAACCTTCCTATCAGGGCTTTGGCCTGCAGGGTTAACAGGAGCCCAGGGGGAAATATCCCTGCCTCCCATTGACAGGCCAGCCTGGCATCCGCGGTGCCCTGGAGATCAGCCTGGCTCAGGAACCGGACTAGAGACCGGCACAGAGAGCGGACTCGATTCTGATATTCCATTGCCAAAGAAAGTTCAGCTATATGAACCTCAGTAACTAGAGAGAGACACACACACAGACAGACAGAGACACACTCAGACAGACACACAGACAGAGGCACAGAAACACACACACAGACACAGACAGAGACAGACACACTCACAAACAGAGACACACTCAGACAGACACACAGACAGAGGCACAGAGACACACACACAGACACAGACAGAAAAACACACAGACACATACAGAGTCACGCACACACACACACATGTACACCGACACTAAGAGAAACAGAGACACACACATACAGTGAGACACACACAGACACACACACACAGACACACACACACAGACACACACACACACACAGAGTGAGCACCGTGTGATCTTAGGCCTCAGCCTGACAGTAAGCAGCTCTCAGTAGCAGAGTGTAACCAGTATTGATGTGATCACTTAAGGCCCTCCACTCACTGCCACATCTCTCTCTCTCTTTCCCCCAACACCCCCTACCCCACCCCCCACCCCAGACAGCATAAGGCACACACTCGAGTCATTATACACACCTTCCCCCCGGGGGTGAGTGGGGGCTGTGAAGGGAACACGCAGAGAAAGGGACACTGTATTTGAATCACATTGCTGACATTACTGACTGGCCACCGCTGCCCGATATCGCACCCGCCACACCTGGGGTGTGAACGGTCGGGGATCAGGACTTGAGTGTTTGGGGGGTGGGGGGGCACAGGGGGTAGGGGGGCAGCTGAAGACATGGTAGAAAAGGAGGATCTGGAGTCATGCCTTAAAGGAGGCAAAGGAGGGAGCGAGGCAAAGGGATTGTGGGAAGGAGTTCCAAAGAGTGGCGTCAGAGAGGCTGAGAGCTCGGCCGCCGATGGTGGGGCGGGTCGGGCGGAAGGCATGGGGCAGGCCGGAGCCCGCTGAGCAGAGGGAGCGGGCAGGTTGATAGGCGGGCCAGCAGGTCGGAGAAGTAGGAGGGGGCAAGGCCGTGGAGGGCCTTGAAGGTGAGGCCGAGGATTTTGAACTCGAGGGAATGGGGATCCAGTGGAGTCGGGCGAGGGTGGGGGTGATGGGGTCACGGAGCCTGGTGCGGGTGAGGGCGCGAGACACAAATGTAAAGAGATGCGAACTTGGATGCCCCGCTGCGTGGGTGACGTTCAACAAAGGGTAACGATGCCTCCGGGGGTTGGGAAGGAGGTCACTTTCCTTGTCATCTCTGCCGCCCATCACCACACACCATCACACACAGTGCTGACTTGTGCTGCTCACTGCACACAAGTGGAAGATTCTCCAATGTCAAACGTCAGCCAACTAACCCCCAGCGCCCCCCACCCCCACCCCCCCTCCCACCCTCTCTCCCTCTCCGACCCCTCCCTCCGTCTCCATTAGTTATTCAAAATACTTTTCTGCACGAAAGCAGAAAACTGAACCCAAACAGAATAGGCCCTATAGATCCTAATCAATAGGAGGAAAATTCACATTCTACTCAACCTCTTAAACTTTTAAACAACGGTTCGGCTGATCCATTATTTGTGGAGGACAAGTTTGTAGGGCTATGGGGAGAAGCTGGTGGGGGGGGGGGGGGGGGGGAGGGGGAGTGGGAGTTGATTTGGAAGCTCTTTGCAAAGAGAGGGCACAGACACCATGGGCCGAATGGCCTCTTTCTGTGCTGTATGATTCTCTGAATGCACATCCTGCGGGAGGTGTTTTGGGGGCTGGGGATTGATTTGGATCAGGACATGATCGACAAGACAGGATTACAGGGATATCATTCTATCTATAATTCATCTGAGAGAAGGGTCAGTCAGTCAGTCTGTCTGTCTGTCTGTCTGGTTTCCTGGCTGTTGTTTTGTGTTGAGCGCTGTGTGTGTGTGTGTGTGTGTGTGTGTGTGTCCCCCTCCCCTCCCCTCCCCGAGAGATCGCTTTACCTACCAGTGGGCGTCCCAGAAGCGGCCGCTGCCCCCACTCTCCTGACCCGGGACCCTGAGGAGTGACAGCGAACATCAGCAGCCTCTCGCCAGCCCGGGCTCCCGTCCCCGGCCACCCGGCCGCGTCCTCACCGTTTCCCGGGGAGGAGAATACCAGCGGCTCCTGCAGCTCCTCGGCCCCGCAGCAAGTCACAGCCGGCGGCGTCCCCTCGGCCACAGAGTACTCCGAGCAGAGCCCCGGCTCTAACGGAACCTGTAACGTGTCTTGGGACATTGTTTCTACGTGGATAGATAAGAGATCCAGCACAGGGAGGGGGGGGGGGGGGGAGACAGGGGGGGGGGATGGCTTTGTCTTTGGGTCACTGGTCTGACCTGAAAGTCTAAAAGAAATAATAATAATAATAATAATTAGACCAATTATAAAGAGGAGGCTGTCGGCGGAGGGAATCAACAGGAACACAATATAAATAAATATAGTATAGATTCGTTTTTAAAAAAAGTGTCCCAAACTGGTCCTTCTGTCCCCGGTGCTGGTGATGAGGAGAGGGGGTGGTGGGGGGGGGGGGGGAGGGCTAATGTTTACCCCTGGGGGGGGTGGGGGGAGAGAGGTGTCAGTGTCAGACGGGAGTCTCTCATCTCAGCCCATCCAGGAAGCGCTCTCTAAATGAAGACATGCATTTTACGCGCCAAATATTTGCCGCGAAACGTGACGTCGCGCCGTGTAGCGATTTCAGGCGCCGGCGCCCCCGCCCCCGGCGCGCGCTGATTGGTCGGCCGCCGCGCGGTCCCGCCCCGCCCTCCCTCTCATTGGCCGGCCGCCGCGCCCTCCCGCCTCCCCCGCGCGCTCATTGGCCGGCTCCGGAGGGGGGCGGGGCACGCTGTATCCGCTCGGGTGACTGGCAGACGCCGCTCGGCCAATAGGGTGACGGCACTCCCCGGCGGCGCCGACATTTCAATTCATAACCTTATCCCGAGCACAGCCCGAGCCAAGTCTGAGGGGAGTTTCACACACACCACACACACGGCTCTGGGTACGAGCAGTGAACAGGAATTCGGCTGTTAGTCAATTGGCGGATAATAATATAACAAACAATGATGATAATAATTTTTGCCTTTGACATATACAGAGGCGCCTCTCATCACGTCTTCCAGACGTCTCAAAGCGCTTCGCGGGATATACTGTCAAGTGGAGCGACTGTTGTGTTTTGTGGGCGAACCGTCATGGGCTGAGTGACCAATTTATTATTTTTTTTTAAGGATTATTATCCCCAGAAAAGCGATCCGCCAATCGACTTAACAACCGGGTCACTACTTACTGTCAGGTGAACAGAGACGTGCGGAGTAAGGGAACTTGCCCAACAGCCGGTCGGGAATCGAACTCAGGTCCTCTCACTTGCGAGGTGAGTGCTCTAACCACTGAGCTACAGGACTCAACATAATAATATTAAAATAATGATCCTTGCATTTGATATAGCGCTTTATCATGTCGTTCATACGTCGCAAAGCCCTTCACAAGATATACTGTCAAGTGGAGTGACTGTGTTTTGTGGGCAAAATGCAGCAACCAATTGTGCACAGCAGTGTCCCACAAATAGTCGTGGGTTGAGTGACCAAATTGTTGTTATAATTATCATTATTATTCTGGGGTGATAAACGCTTTTAAATAAATTTTAAATAAAAGTTTTGTCACTGCGCAATTGGCTGCCGTGTTTCACCCACAAAGCAGTCAATTCATTTTACAGTATATCACGTGAAGCGCTTTGAAACATCTCAAAGACATGATAAGGCGTTATATCAAATGCAAGAAATTATTATGCAGAGAACGATTCATTTTATAATTTATATGCATTACCTTATGTGCGTTTTATATATAGATTCTTAATTACATTATATATTAGATAATAATCCTTGCATTTGATATAGCGCCTTATTGCACAAAGGCATGGATTGAGTGAAAATTATTATTTTTAAGGGATTTATTACACCATATATTATTCATTCTATATCAGGATTTTATATAGGTTCTTTCTTTTATATTACTGTACATTTCTATATATATTCTTGGCTAGATTGATTTTATATTATACTTTTATATTTGACATCTCAACGATGTGATAAAGCATATCTGCATCCCACATTCCCTTTGCCTCGCTGCTTATCTCCTTCAGAGCACTCTCAAAACCCTCCTCTTTGACTTAGCATTCGGCCACCCGCCTACCCTCTATGCCCTCCCCGATCCTGACCCTCAGCTCGGGTCCAAACCCCCGATGGTCCAGCGCCTTGGGATGTCCTCCCGACGTGAAGGGCGCTATGGAAATGTAATTTTTATTGTATATGAAACGCAAGATTATTATCATTACATAAAGGTTCTCTATTAGATATACAGATTCTACAATCCAACCTTTATATATACAGTACTTCAAAGTGAGAAGAAACATCTTGTTTTTCTTTTCTTTATGGTTGGTTTACCGTTTTACAGGAGGGTCCTATAGCGAGGCATTGGCACAGCAGGATAGTTGGTAGAAATAATGGAAGCTCAAGGTTTGTTTTCTTTCCCCCCCACCCCCGAAACCTGCTAAAGTTACGGAAGCCTAGAACACAAGATGTGTACGTTTGAGTGGCGTCACCGATAAGCCACATTTACAGCTGATGGCAGTCAGCTGTTTTAAGATAAGGTAGAGAAAAAAATCCCTGAGTAGCTGTTGCTAGGTTGTGCCCAGAGTCATATATGGTGCAAAGTTCAACAACACTAGCTTTAATCTCCTTGTTTGCTTCAAGTAGAATGGCTCTGTGAGTTGATCGATGATCCAGAAAGAACTTGCATTTTTACAGTGTTTTAACAGGTCAGCACACTTCAAGGCCCTTTACAGGACTTGCCATCAAGTGTAGAGACTAATTTTGTAGGCAAATATGGCAGTTGTTTTACACATAGCAAGGTCCCACACACAACCACAAGATAGATGAATGACCAATTTTATCCTAATCCTTGCATTTGGGCTTCTGAACAGTGTAGTGACTGTCTATTTTGTAGCCAAACACAACCTGGGCAAAGCATCATTCCACAAACAGCCAAATAGTGAATGACCGATTTATCTGGAGGAATTTTAATAATAATCCTTGCATTTGATATAGCCTTATCACATCATTGAGACGTTTCAAAGCACTTCACAGAACATACTGTAAAGTGAATTGACTGTATATTTTGTGGGCAAAAACGCAGCAGCCAATTGCTTGCAGCAGTGTCCCACAAATAGTTGTGGATTAAGTGAACAATTTTTGTCCAGGACACCCGGAGAAAACCCCTTTCCTTATCAAATAGTTCCACGGGCCTTTAACATCCAACTGAACTGACAGCCGGGACCTCAGTTTAACGTATCATCCAGAAGAACATCACCTCATAATGCAGCGCTTTCCTTTACCTGTTGAATAAAAAGGGAATGTTGAGTTGGATGCTGTCCTGTAGTGCCTTGAGTTATCCAACAGCAGCTTCTGAATAGTTTTGTCACACAATTCAGACTTATCCATACCACCTTCCATCCAACACAAATCATCTCCGACACAAATTACCCCGCACAACACTCACACCCTGCCCAGGTTTTACAAACAGCCCCAAAAAGATATAACACAAGAAAAAATATTTAATCTCTCTCAATGGTTGTGTGGGACAAATAACACACCATGTACTGTACTCGTTTTAAAATTAATCGTGAAAGTTTATTTTTTTTCCCCGTAAAAAAAATTAAAATGACAGTAATTGATGAGCAAATGGAGATTGCAGGCGGTAAATATGGTGACTGCTGCTGGCAAGGGTGGTACAACCCAATTAAAAGGAAATCCAGCCGATTCTCCAATGTCCCAATCGTCAATCCTAGATCAATTCTTCAAGTTAATCCAGTTAGAAAATTCCTAGTTAATTCATTATGGCAAATACAGCAAATAATGCCCTAATAAACAATATACACTCGAGACAGCCATCAGATTGTTACAGTCAACAACAACTTGCACGTATATAGCACCCCTCACGCAGGGTACCGTTCCAGAACAAACCAGCCCTCGTAGTACTTGTGGTCATCTTCCCATTTAACACCACAACTTATTCTTCCTTTAACAAGAAGGCATTCCTTCACTCAGAACATTATGGTGTGAAATTCAATACCTCGAGTGGCTGTCGATGATGGATCAATGGAATCGTTCGGAAGGGAAGTTGACACAATACAAATTCACATTTATATACCGCCTTTCATGTCGGGAGGGTATCTCAAAGTGCCTGCATAAGTACAAAAACAACAACTTGCATTTATTTATCGCCCCTCACGCAGGGTAGCATCCCAGAGCGCTCGAGGCTGGATGAATGGAAACGTTCAGAAGACAACTGGATACAATAAAAATTTACATTTATAGAGCGCCTTTCACATCAGAAGGACGTCCAAAAGAAAGCTTCAGAGGGACACAGGAATAATCAAGGTCATGACCCTCCAAATGGTTTTATAGGGCAAGTACATGGGCATTAAAAACATTAAGGGATACTCCTTCCTATCTCTCTGACCTGCTAATGCCATATCAACCTGTCCGGTCCCTCTGCTCAGCAGGCTCCAGCCTGATCCACATCCCCGACCAGCCCGGACCACTCCATCACCAGCGGTCAAATCTTCATCCTCTTTGCCCCAAACTTTTGGAACTTTGTTTTGCTCTCTCCCTTGCCTCCTTCAAGGCCCGTCTTAAGATCCTCCTCTTCGACCGCGCCTTCGGCCACTCGTACCCCTTCCCTCCTTGCCCTCCGCCCCTCCTGATCCTAACCCCCTGCTCAGGTCCAAATCTCTGATGGTGCAGCGCCTTGGGATGTGAAAAGCGCTGTGCAAATGTCATTTGTTGTTGCTGTTGGGTACATATGGGGAGAGAGACAGAAAGTGGCAATCTTTTTTTGTAAAAAGGGGGCAGTTTAGAAAAACAGAATCACATACGCGATGGGCCGAATTTGCAAGTGAAAGAAAAAAGCATACACTCGTCACTTTTCCCCCACAAAATCTTCCGACACACCAAGTTGTCAATACCTCCCAGCTCACTGACGTTATGTTCCCGTCAGCTTTCTTTCTGTTTAGCTGCAGCTATGAATAAAGCAGTATCCACTGGTTGGTAACTCATCAACCAATATTACATCACGCACTATAGTGGTCGTCAAGTTCAAACACGGAGGGGTGGAAAGAAGATTGCTACAGGAGTAGGAATGCATCAGCAAGTTAACAGGAGGAGCTGCCCCTTCTAAGTTTATGGAGGCTCTGAATTTAATCCACCCTTTGACATCAGTCTAGGTGTAAGCTCTTTCCATCATTAAAGACATCCTGAAATAAAAATAGAAGTCGTCGGGAACACTCAGGAGGTCACGCAGCATCGATCGAGAGACAAATTTCCTCTCTCCATAGATGCTGCCTGACCTTCTGAGTGTTAAAGATATCCTGCTTTGTTTTGGGTCTATTTTTTGGGAGGGGGGGAAGAGGAGAACATAGAAGTATTTACACCAATGTAAAACTTACTTTATACACAGCGCAGCTGAGAGGTGTCAGTAGTTTTGAAGTCTGTGTCGGTGTTTATATTCCACACGCAAGCCCCCATCCCTCCTGTTCCCTACCCCCTTCCATGTAGGCATCAAGTTTTCTCCTTAAATACATCGATACTATTTGTTTCGACCACAGCTTTGTAACGCAGGTGTTCAGTGAATGACTATGTATATTTGAGTGTGTATTTAATAATAATAATCCTTGCACTTGATATAGCGCTTATCACGTCATTGAGACGTCTCAAAGGGCTTCACAGATACTGTAAAGTGAATTGACTGAATATTTGTGGGCAAAACACAGCAGCCAATTGGGCACAGCAGCGTCCCACAAACAGTCATGGATTGAGTGATCAAATTAATATTGTTTTTTTCTTGAGGAATTATTATCAGGCATGTGTGTGGCGTAAGGAAACTTGCCCAAGGTTTCGCCCTGACCTGCTAGGAATTGAACCCAGGTCTCTCACTTAGAGTGCTCTAACCATGGAGCTACAGGACTCCACCAAACAGGATTATTTCTGTTTGATCACCTATTTGGTAGCTTACCCCCTTCAACGACAATTACAGTAAAGAGGGGGTGGGAAACGGATGGACAAGACTCAGAGATCGCAAATTAAAAACAGCTTGAACCTAAAGAAGGTTACCATTAATTCCAGGCAGGGCGAAACCTTGGGCAAGTTTCGTTACTCCACACAGAGCCTAATAATATTCCCTCCAAAACCAAAAACAATAATAAATTGGTCATTTTCAATCTACGACTGTTTGTGGGACATTGCTGTGCGCAATTGGCTGCCGCGTTCGCCCACAAATATACAGTCAATTCACTTTACAGTGTGTTCTGTGAAGCGCTTTGGGACGTCCTCCCGACGTGAGAAGCGCTATATCAAAATGCAAGGATTATTATTATTATTATTATTTGTGCGTTTTTTTGAATGTTTCCTAAAAAAGGAAAAACATGGACTTATTGACTTAAACTTCTCTTGTTGTGGATCAGAAAGTCCGAGACGTCGTGCCACACGTCGCTGTCGTCGTAGAGGTAGGTCATGGAGGACTGTAGCGAGGGCTGCAGTGTGTGGGGGTGATACTCAAACAGCCACAGCACAGCTCCCCACACCAGCGCCGAGAACAAGGGGAAGGGGTCCCGCTTGGGCACGTTCACCACACCCTTCTCCACAGCCAGCCGCGACAGCCCGAACAGCACTCGGGACAACAGGTACATGTTTATCTGCCGAGAGGAGAGGAGAGGGGGTGAAGAGAAGACGTAAAAGGAGATGACCCCTCTACCCCCACCCCCAACACCATAGCAAATACCACCTCAACAAGAAGAGGCTCTGAATTTGGATGCAAACATAATAATAATAATCCTTGTATTTGATTTAGCGCCTTATCACGTCTCAAAGCACTTCACAGAACATGCAGTATTTTGTGGGCGAAACGCGGCAGCCAATTGCTCACAGCCGTGTCCCACAAACAGTCGTGGATTGAGTCCAAATTATTATTTTTTTTGGAGGGGTTATTTCCCCTTGAAAACAATGCTCCAAACAACTAACAACCAGGTTCCTACTTACTTCTGGGTAAACAGAGGCATGTGGAGTAATGAAATTGGCCTAAGGTTGCACCCCGCCTGAGAACATCCTCAGGGCAGGTCCTCACCTGTAGCCCAGCGACACAAGGGCTGACACAGTGCCAGACGGTCGGCGAACATACACCAGGCAGAGGACTTTGATTGCCCCATTACACCAAGAAGGGCGTGGCATGGCTGGCCCTGCTGTTTGAAGTTGGGATACCAGATTGGCCAGTCAACTCATTCTGGACAATCAGTGGCAGAATAAAAGAAGCTAAACCACATTCTCAGGCACATGATTCCTTCCCCTCATCCCCTCCCCCATCAATTGTGTTTCAATCTGGCCAGTAGACTTCAACCTCAACCAACCTTCAGGATCTCCCTCCAGCCTCCCCCAAACCACCCCTTTCCCACCGCTAGAGTTTTGACGGTCCCTCTCCCTGGTCGAACACCAGTGCTGAGAAGACTGAAGACCGAGGAACCTGCTCGCTGCTCTGTACCTGGCTGTTGATGTGATTGTTGTCTCCGAACACCAGCCAGCCACCCACGCAGGCCGCCAGGAAGGAGTGGAACTGAGCCCTGTCACCCCTTAGCCAGCGCTGTGCTGCCAGCAGCCCCTTGTAGGTGAAGACAAAGCAGGCCAGGTTCCGGGAATGGGTGTAGGTAGCCATGACGATGGCTTTCAGCTTATCTAACAGACTGGACACACAGGAGGACTAGCTTCAGGATTTAATATTAATCAGTGATGTAAGAATAAATTATTATTAATAACAAAACAACAATGACGATAATGACTAGTTTATCTGTAGGATCGTTGGCTGAGACACCAAGAGAAACTTCTCTTCTCTTCACCAACAGTCCACCTGAACAGGCACAGATGGGACCTGGGTTTATAGTCTCATCTGAAGGCCAGCATCTCTGAAGAAACAGCACTTGACAGGCGCGAGAGAGTCAGCCTAACATGGGGCGAGAGACCAGAGATGCTCACCTTCCACTTTTGAAGAGCAACGTCATCACCAGAGCGTGAGGGGCTCGAATTTTGGCTCCGTACCTGAAATGAGGAGAAACAAAGGCCTCCAATAATCTCGAGACGTGAATGCAATTGACTTCCGCGTTTCGCCCACAAATAAACAGTCACTACACCTTACAGTGTTATTCTGTGAAGCGCTTCTTTGAGACGTCTCAACAATGTGATAAGGCACTGCATCGAATGCAAGGATCGTTGTTAATTAATTAGAATAATATTATAAATACAACGTTGTTACTGTTGATGATGTGGGAGAGTGTGTGGGAGTGTGTGTGGGGATCTGTGTGTGTGTGTGTACTTGAGTGTGTGGTTGGGTGTGTGAGTGGCTGTGTGTGAGTGGGTGTGTGTGAGGATCTTTGTGTGAAGGTGTGTGAGGGTGTGTGGGAGTGTGTGTGGGTCTGTGTGTGAGTGTGTGATGGGGGGAGGGGTGTGTGTGTGAGGGTGTGTGCGAGGGTGTGTGGGTCTGTGTGTGTGTGTGATGGGGGGGGTGAGGGGTGTGTGTGTGAGGGTGTGTGGGTCTGTGTGTATGAGGGTGTGTGTGATGGGGAGCGGGGGTGAGGGGTGTGTGTGTGTGAGGGTGTGTGTGAGGGGGTGTGGGGGGGTGAGGGGTGTGTGTGTGTGAGGGGGTGTGGGGGGGTGAGGTGTGTGTGTTTGTGTGAGGGGGTGTGAGGGTGTGTGATGGGGTGTGTGGGGATGTGTGAGGGGTGTGTGCGTGTGAGGGGGTGTGGGGGTGTGTGTGAGGGTGTGTGTGAGGGTGTGTGTGTGAAGGTGTGTGTGTGAGGGTGGGTGTGAGGGGGTGTGTGAGGGGGTGTGGGGGTGTGTGTGAGGGGGTGTGGGGGGTGCGGGGTGTGTGTGTGAGGGTGTGGGGTGTGTGTGAGGGGGTGTGGGGGGGTGAGGGGTGTGTGTGTGTGAGGGTGTGTGGGGGTGTGTGTGAGGGGGTGTGGGGGTGTGTGTGAGGGTGTGTAGGGGTGTGTGTGAGGGGGTGAGGGGTGTGTGGGGGGGTGAGGGGTGTGTGTGTGAGGGTGTGTGTGGGGGTGAGGTGTGTGTGTGAGGGTGTGTGGGGGTGTGTGTGAGGGGGTGAGGGGTTTGTGTGTGTGAGGGGGTGTGAGGGGGTGTGGGGTGTGTGTGAGGGGGTGTGCGGGGGTGAGGGGTGTGTGTGTGGGGGTGTGTGTGAGGGGGTGTGGGGGTGTGAGTGAGGGTGTGTGAGGGGTGTGTGTGTGTGAGGGTGTGTAGGGTTGTGTGTGAGGGGGTGAGGAGTGTGTGAGGGGTTGTGGGGGGGTGTGTGAGGGTGTGTGTGAGTGTGTCTGTGTGACGGTGTTGGGGTGTGAGGGGTTTGTTTGTGAGGGTGTGTGTGAGGGGGTGTGTGAGGGTGTGTGGGGGTGTGTGTGAGGTTGTGTGTGTGAGGGTGTGGGTGAGGCTGTGTGAGGGGGTGTGTGAAGGGGTGTGTGAGGGGGTGAGGGGGTGTGTGAGGCTGTGTGTGAGGGTGTGGGGGGGTGAGGGGTGTGTGTGTGTAGGGGGTGTGGGGGGGTGAGGGTGTGAGGGGTGTGTGAGGGGGTGTGTGAGGGTGTGTGGGGGTGTGAGGGGGTGTGAAGGGGGGTGTGTGAGGGTGTGTGGGGTGAGGGGTGTGAGGGGGTGTGGGGGGGGTGTGAGGGTGTGTGAGGGGGTGTGTGGGGATGTGTGAGGGGTGTGTGTGTGTGAGGGGGTGTGGGTGTGTGTGTGTGAGGGGGGGTGTGAGGGGGTGTGTGTGAGGGTGTGTGTGAGGGGTGTGAGGGTGTGTGTGTGAGGGTGTATGGGGGGGGTGAGGAGTGTGTGAGGGTGTGTGTGAGGGGTGTGTGTGGGGGGGTGAGGAGTGTGTGAGGGTGTGTGTGAGGGTGTGTGGGGGGGTGTGAGGGTGTGTGTGTGTGGGTGTGTGTGAGGGGGTGTGTGAGGGTGTGTGAGGGTGTGTGTGTGGGTGTGTGTGAGGGGGTGTGTGTGGGTGTGTGAGGGTGTGTGTGTGGGTGTGTGTGAGGGGGTGTGTGTGTGTATGGGTGTGTGTGAGGGGGTGTGGGTGGGTGTGTGTGAGGGGGTGTGTGAGGGTGTGTGAGGGTGTGTGTGAGGGGGTGTGGGGGTGTGTGTGAGGGTGTATGAGGGTGTGTGTGAGGGTGTGTGTGAGGGTGTGTGTGTGGGTGTGTGTGTGGGTGTGTGTGGGTGTGTGAGGGTGTGTGTGTGTGTGTGTGTGAGGGGGTGTGTGTGGGTGTGAGGGGGTGTGTGTGGGTGTGTGTGTGGGGGGGTGTGTGAGGGGGTGTGTGAGGGGGTGTGTGAGGGGTGTGTGAGGGTGTGTGTGTGTGTGTGAGGGGGTGTGTGTGGGTGTGAGGGGGTGTGTGTGGGTGTGTGTGTGGGGGGGTGTGTGAGGGGTGTGTGTGTGGGGGTGTGTGTGAGGGTGTGTGTGTGGGTGTGTGTGAGGGGGTGTGTGAGGGTGTGTGTGAGGGTGTGTGAGGGTGTGTGTGTGAGGGTGTGTGTGGGTGTGTGTGAGGGGGTGTGTGAGGGTGTGTGTGTGGGTGTGTGTGAGGGGGTGTGTGTGAGGGGGGTGTGAGGGGGTGTGTGTGGGTGTGTGTGTGGGTGTGTGTGAGGGTGTGTGTGAGGGTGTGTGTGAGGGTGTGTGTGGGTGTGTGTGAGGGGGTGTGTGAGGGTGTGTGTGTGAGGGGGTGTGTGTGAGGGGTGTGTGTGGGTGTGTGTGAGGGTGTGTGTGTGGGGTGTGTGTGAGGGTGTGTGTGAGGGTGTGTGTGTGGGTGTGTGTGAGGGTGTGTGTGTGAGGGTGTGTGTGAGGGGGTGTGTGAGGGGGTGTGTGTGAGGGGGTGTGTGTGGGTGTGTGTGAGGGTGTGTGTGTGGGTGTGTGTGTGAGGGTGTGTGTGTGAGGGTGTGTGTGAGGGTGGGTGTGTGTGAGGGTGTGTGTGGGTGTGTGTGAGGGGGTGTGAGGGTGTGTGACGGTGTGAGGGTGTGTGTGAGGGTGTGTGTGCGGTGTGTGTGAGGGGTGTGTGTGGGTGTGTGTGTGAGGGTGTGTGTGAGGGTGTGTGTGTGAGGGTGTGTGTGTGTGTGAGGGTGTGTGTGGGTGTGTGTGAGGGTGTGTGTGGGTGTGTGTGTGAGGGTGTGTGTGAGGGGGTGTGTGGGTGTGTGTGTGTGGGTGTGAGGGTGTGTGTGTGGGTGTGTGTGTGGGGGTGTGTGTGGGTGTGTGGGTGTGGGTGTGAGGGTGTGTGTGTGAGGGGTGCTGAGGGTGTGTGTGTGTGTGTGAGGGGGTGTGTGAGGGGGTGTGTGTGAGGGTGTGTGTATGTGTGAGGGGGTGTGTGAGGGGGTGTGTGTGAGGGGGGTGTGAGGGGGTGTGTGTGGGTGTGTGTGAGGGGGTGTGTGTGGGTGTGTGTGTGAGGCTGTGTGTGAGGGTGTGTGTGGGTGTGTGTGTGGGTGTCTGTGAGCGTGTGTGTGAGGCTGTGTGTGTGGGTGTGTGTGTGGGTGTGTGTGAGGGTGTGTGGGGGTGTGTGTGTGGGTGTGTGTGTGTGTGGGGGGGTGTGTGAGGGTGTGTGTGTGGGGGTGTGTGAGGGGGTGTGTGTGAGGGTGTGTGAGGGGGTGTGTGGGGGTGTGTGAGGGGTGTGTGTGAGGGTGTGTGTGTGTGTGAGGGGGTGTGTGTGGGTGTGTGTGTGGGGGTCACGGTGTCACTCACACGGCTCCATTGCGGAATCCCTTCAGTACGGACAGGGCCTCCCGGTAGCGCCGCTCCTTCAGAAGTCGGTTGAGCGCCTGAAGCGCGGCCTCCGCGCGCATCGTCCCCTCAGCCCTCCGGAACAATAACATCGCCGAACCCAACACACTGCGGCTGCGCGGCCCCCAACCGATTCCGACTGGAACCGTCAGTCCCACAAACAAAGGTTCCGGAGAGAAGTCACACATCATCATATCAGACAACTGCTGCCACACACACATACATCATACATACACCACACACACACACATACATCATACATACATCATACATACACATACACCACACACACACATACATCATACATACATCATACATACACATACACCACACACACACATACATCATACATACATCATACATACACCACACACACACATACATCATACATACATCATACACACACATACATACACCACACACACATACATATACATACATCACACACACATATACATATATATATACATCACACACACATATACCTGTATATATACATACATCATACACACATATGCATGTATGTATACATACATCACACACATTATTTATACATCACACACACACATACATGTACATATACATACATCACACACATTATATATACATCACACACACGCATGTATGTATATGTATACATACAGCACACATACATACATACATACATACATACATACATACACACACATATGTATATACATCACACACAAATGTAAATACACAATACATATAGATACACATCACACACATATACATGTATATACACACATACATACACATCACACACATACATACACATCAGACACATATACATACACATCACACATATACATACATACACATCACACACACACACACACAGAGTAAAGAGGGTGTTTAAATTATATAGTTAAATATTGCAATAAAACATGTTTTAATTTTACGAGGTTAATGAAAATCATTCTTTTTCATTTTCCCTAACATCTAAAATTTGTTTATGTAATTTTTTTTTAATGAGATAAATTAATTAATGAGGGATTTCTCCCACAAATTGCAGAGTCACTACGCTTTACAGTATATACTGTGAAGCGCTTGGAGACACCTGCACAACGTGATAAGGCGCTATAACAAATGCAAGGATTATTATTATTTATGGTTGTCATGTCAGGCTCCAATGTGTGCTGTGTCTTAACCATGTGCAAACACACGTGTGCACAGGGAATTACAGGTTGCAATTAGCCAGCAGTGTAGTGATACTGTGAACCTTTTTTAATCAGTTGCTGGTTGTAATAATTAATAATAAAAATCCTCAGATTTGATACAGGGCCTCGTCACTTCAAGACGTCACTGAATTTTACTCAATAATAATAATAAATCTTGCATTTGTTATAGACGTTTTACACGTCGTCGAGACGTCTCAAAGCGTTTCACGGGATACACTGTATGGAGGATTGACTATATTGTGGACAAAACACGGCAGCCAATTGCACACAGCAGTGTCCCCCACAAAAGCCGCGGAGCGAGTGACCAATTTTATTTGGAAGATTGTTGGCCAGGGACACTGGGAGAGAGAAACTCCCTTCTTTTTTCTGAAGTGATGATGTCAATATGCACCAACCTTAGACTCTGAAAAACCAGGCTCCTGCATTATTTTATTTTCCCCTCCACACAAAACACAGGCTGGTGCTGCCACCCAGAGACGTCAAGAGAGCATGTTTTTATTATAATATACTGCTATCATTTAATTCCACTCTCTACAAGACCGCACGTAAGACAGGACATATACACACACGTACATACACATGTGTATGTGGAGGAGGAGGAAGAGGGGGAGGCAGGAAAGGCTTTAACAAACCTTTGTTACTGCTTCCACAGCCATATTGTATAACAATCCTCACCTTTGATACCGTCCGTGCCCATAACATCTCAAAGCGCTTCACAGGCAATTGGTGTCAAGGTGACGTGACTGTGTAATTTTACAGGCAAACCCTGCGCAGAGCAATATTTCCCCCAAACGGTCGTTAAGTGAACGTCCAATTTATTTGCCGAACCAAGACGGTGGGAGAAACCGAATTGAAGGATTCGTCACCACAGGATCGATCTCAAATCTTGTGAAACAAAATGGTCTCACAGGCTGAGACTCGCTGAAATTTCGGGGCCTCTGAGACCTATTTTTCTTTTGGCTTCTTTCTGGTGTTGTCCCGGCGCTCGGTGTAAAGGAGTTTTGGTGATTTTAGGTTTTGTGTAAAAGGGGCAACGTTAATTGACTGTAAAAATGGGAGATGCCACAAGCATCGTTTCTGCTGTATGTGAAGATACAGGGGAGTTGGTGAGTACGCCAATTGTGGAAATACTTGTCAGATTTATATGCAGTTGATCACTCGAGTGAATAAAGTGCTTTAATGGAATTAGCAGGGTCTGCTCTCAGCTCTCCCACCCAATCAATTTTGGTTGCAGTTGGTTTATGCAACCAGTTGCCCCCCGCCACACACACACATACAAACATAACCCCTCCACTGCCATAACCTCTTCAATAAACGTTCATTTACTAATCCTTGCATTTGATAAAACGCCTTATCATGTCGTTGAGGAGTCTCAAAGTGCTTCACAACACGTATTGTAAAATGGGGTGACTGTGTATTTTGTGGGCGAAATTGAGATACACATTCATTTGATCAGTGATCCAGGCATGTAAGCGTGGCCGATGCTTCATGGCACAGATCTTACAAGGGCTTAAATAAGGTTTACTGGTCCTTTATTCAGAGCGGAAAAATATATAGAATCAATGGTTAGTGTTATCAATGATAAGTACTAACCATTGTCAATGTCAAGTACGCTCAACAGTTGTTATTATCAATGGTTAGTATTGTTAATGGTACATACTGGTAATAACAGTGTTAGTACCAATTAATACCAACCCAACAGTGTAAGTATCAGCAAGAGTACTAACAACTGACAGTATTAACCATTTAACAGTTGAATACTGTCAATTGTTAGTGCTCTCACTGGCAGTGATTAATGTTGTCAGTGGGTTAGTATTGTTAGTATGATAGCTACTCTCATTGTTGTAGACTCCACTCACTCCAGGCGCCGTTATCAAATGCAAGGATTATTATTATTATTATTTAAATAGCAAATGATGGTCTTTCCCCTAACAACTGCAAGTCAGACGGAACTTAAAATGAATCACTTAATCAAGAAAAAGGAATGATGATCCAGAAATAACTAATAAATGTGTATTATTATTATTTTTATTGAATGTAAAGTTGTTACAGAGGCAAAGTCAATGGCCAATATGGCATCATCCAACAAACAGCAGAGGTGGAATGTTACCACAAGAGGCCGCTGTAGGTAAGTGAAAGTCTCAGTGTTCTTATACTAAATATTGACCCAAAAGGTCTCTGGTAAAATATTTAGTTACTTTAAATCGATACAGGTTTTATTTTGTCTTAAATCGTTCCCACTGCTTTACCCTGTGCGTTCTCAATCAGATGCTAATGGTTTGTGTGCAAACTCTCAAAGCTCTCCAATTGCGCACAACAGTGTCACACAAACAGTCGTGGATTGAGTGACCAAATTATTATTTTTTTATTTTTTTTGTCTTTTGAAGGGGTTATTACCCCCGGAAAAGCGATGCACCAATTGACTAACAAACAGGTTCCTACTCACTGCCAGGTAAACAGAAGCGTGTTGAGTAAAGAAATTTGCACAACGTTTTGTCCTGCCCGGGAATCGAACCCGGGTCCCCTCGCTTGCGAGGAGAATTCTCTAACCACTGAGCTACAGGACTCCACATGCATGTGTAGGCCGGAGCTTTACATCACCAGTCACATGGTGCCTATCCACCTCTTTCCAGGAAAACAACCGATCCCTTGTACAGTAATAGCATACGGACTTTCTCAGGGTGTGTTGTTCCGCAACTATGTCAAACTCTCCTGCGTCAACAACACAGCTCCCAGTAACAGCTTCACCACAGCCGTGCCTGCACCTGTCTTTGCGGCTGTAACCAACGGCAGTGTGTGCAGGTGAAGGCGCGATCGTCATCAGTTGACTTACTGAGTGATTCCATTTGACATTGCCAAGAGCTGAGTCCTTGCGTTTGATTTCGAGCCTTATCCCACTCAGCTTCTGTTAACCCTACAAGCCAAAGCCCTAATGGGTAGCGTGGTTCTAGCTGGACAAGCAGCGGGAAAGCTGGCCAGACAGCGATATCGATGGCCAGCCGTGTGTGGTTTTAGCTGGTTAGGCTCCAGCAGTTACCTCAATGCACACTCTGGGCTCCCCCAAACTTTGGCTCTTGCCAACCTGGGCCTAATCCTTTCTGGGATTAGGTAAACAGCATGTGTCTCTCCAGGGAGAGAGCGAGAGAGAGAGAGAGAGCGCATTCCATTCCAACAATCTGTCTCCGGGATTTCCATGTGTAGGTGGGAGGCCTGGAATTCTCAGCTTGGGTTGGATGCTCTTAAGCAACGGTGATGGGTTCCACAATTGTCAGACACTCGGCTGATCAAAAAAATCAACATCTCTCCGTTGTCACCTTCCCATGTCACCAGGTCAGCCAGCAGGGAACCTAACCAACTAAATACACCAGGTCGGTCTGGTGGTTGTGGGGTGGGTGGGTGGGTGGGGAGGAGGAATTGTTCCCCAATCCCAAAAGCTCCAGGGGAAGGACCAAGCCCCCACCAAGACAGCTCGTGGCTCCCCCCACCACACGCGTACACTACACACCCACCCACACACCACAAATTTGCTACATTATGTGTTTTAATAACCCTGCGTCTCATAACCTTATAAAGGGTTAAATCCTGCCCTAGCTAAACTAGTGATAAAGTAGCTACATGGGGTGGTGGTGGGGGGGGGGGGGGGGGGAGAAGAATTGAGGCATAGATGCATTTCCTACAAAAAATGTCATCTCAATTTTTTTTAAATCTCTTTGATTTATGGTTTCGCTTGTGCAATCCTGACAGAGAGAGAGAGAGAGAAAGGGGGGAGGGGGGAATTCTCTCCCCACTCCCTCTCCCTTATGATTTTTTTGTCATCTCAATTTTATTTTATAAATTACTGTTTTGCTTTTGCAATCCTGAGCAAGAGAGAGAGGTCCCTTCTCTTCCCTCTCTTGCACCCCCACCTCGCCCCCCCCCCGCCCCATCTCTCCCCTTCCCCAGCCCCATAACCCCTTTTTTTGTCATCTCAGTTTTTTTAAAAAAACTTTTATTGATGGCTTTGCTTTTGCAATCCTGAGAGAGAGAGATAGAGAGAGGTGGTGGGAGGGGGGGGGGGCATTTCATTTTTTTTCTCTCCCCTCCCATCCGCACTCTCAATAACCCCCTCCGTGATGTATTTTTTGCCAAGATGCACCAATTTTATTTTTATAAATCTCTTTTAACTTATGTTTTTGCAACCCAGGGAGAGAGAAAATGGGGGGAAGGGGGACATTTCTCTCCCTCTCCACCCCCCCATAAAAGCCCCCTCCCTTATGTTTTTTTTTCTTTTTATGCTTCAATTTTATGCTTCAATTTTACTCTTAACAAAACAATGTGTGTCTGAATTTTGCCCACAAAACACACAGTCACTCCGCTTTACAGTACGTGCCGTGAAGCACTTTGAGACGTGGTGAGAATTTTTATTATAAAATCTCTTTACTTATGGTTTTGCTTCTCCAATCCTAAGAGAGAGAGAAAAAGAGGGGGGAGTAGGGGGGGGGATCACTCCCCCCCCATCACCACATAACCCCCTCCCTTCATTTTTAAAAAAAAATCTCTTGCTTTTGCAATGCTGAGAGAGAGAGGAGGGAGTGGAGGGGATGGGGGGGGCACTTCTCCCCTCTCTCCCCCCCCCCACCCCATAACAGTCTCTTTATGAAATATGCTTCTGCAACCCTGAGAGAGAGAGAGAAAGGAGTGGAGTGGAGGGGATGGGGGGGGGCACTTCTCCCCTCTCTCCCCCCCCACCCCCCCCATCCTCTCCCCACCCCATAACAGTCTCTTTATGACATATGCTTCTGCAACCCTGAGAGAGAGAAAGGAGGGAGTGGAGGGGTGGGGGGGGGGCACTTCTCCCCTCTCTCCCCCCCAACCCCCCACCCTCTCCCCCCCATCCTCTCCCCCCCCCACCCCATAAGTCTCTTTATAACATATGCTTCTGCAACCCTGAGAGAGAGACACTTCCCCCCCACCCACCCCCCTTTTAAATCATACCCACCCAACCCGTCCTGCTCAGTCTCCCGGTTATCTCTCGGGGAGGGAGAGGGGGGGGGGGGGACAGACTCGCTTTAAGAGCTCCCGGAGCAGTGCAGCTGGTGACCAGTCAATGGTAAAATAAAGGCTCCGCTTGGCTCGGAGTCTGTGTCAAGGGCAGGGAAGGGCAGGCGAGGCCAGACTGGCTGGCGCCACCGAACACCTGGAGCAATTCAGGTTAACAGCATTCCTATACACACATCTGATTCACAGGATTAAACAGACTAATCCTTTTGTCAGCAGATGTGGCTGAGAGTGTGCCAGCAGCACACACAACACCCAGCGGCCACATGAAAGCTTTTATTTATTTTATTTTTTTTTGGGGGGGGCTGGGGGGGGTTTGAACCCCTCCCCCCCCCAAAAAAAAGCAAACTTTTGCACCAAAAAAAAAATCACGAAAAAGAAAACACACGCAGAAGGCAAAGCCAAACTTTTGCAGAATAAGCAGCAAAACAACCCCTCCCCACACACTTTGCCTCAAAGAGGGACAAACACTTTATTGCAAGTTCTTTGGGGGGGGGTTATAACTTTTTTTTTTGGGGGGGGGGTGGATTCTGAGATCATTTGCTGGTTAATTACTTCTTTTTCTTTCCCAAAACTAGTCAGATTCATTCATTTAAGGAGTTTTTTTTTATTGGAGATAATTATTTGATTGGTTTGGCACTGAATTAATGAATGAATGAGGGGGTGGTGGTGGGGGGAGGGGGGGTTGCATTTTTCAGCTTTGCTTTTGAAATAAGTTTGGGATTTATTTTAAAAGCCTGGGGAAAGCTAATCTATAATATTTTTATAAACCGTAGAGAGGTTTAATGTGTTTATTCAAAAATAATGAATAATTATAAGAGGAAAATCGCTTTATTGAAGATAGTGTTGATATATTATTTTAATATATATATGTTGGGGAAATCTAATCTATATTTTATATATATAGTGCTGGTTTAAATCCAAGATACTTGGAGTTTGACCTCTGACTTGCAGATTTCAAAGCGAATGAGAGATAAAAACGAAATCACTGCAGTTTGCAACGTTTTAAAATTAGGTTAACCTCAGAATAGTTGGCAAACAACCTAATAAACATGTCCCACCATAGGGTTTTAAAGGAAAATAGGATTCATATTTTTATACATAATAAAAAGTTTTAATACTTGAGAATGTGGGGGGCGGGGAGAGAACTAGGAAGCAGGAAATCTCCCAACACTAAACTATTGTTTTGCTCTCTTTCTGTCTGTCTCTCTCACAGTCAGATATAAAAGATCGGTTTTCCTTAAGAGTCCCTCTGGCGAGGACTAACTTGGTATTTTTTTTAACTTGCCGTATAGCTCCGAGAGACAATGTTTCAGTGAATGAATCGTGATCTCTGGTCCCATCAGCCATGGGAGCCAAATGGAATCACACTTTCTCCCCCACGAGTTTTTAAATCATATTTTTGGGTCCGGATCTTATTTCGCAAGTTTGATTCTCGTGTGGGAGGGGGGAGAGGTGGTGGGGAGGGAGTTGGTTTGGTAGATATTCAATTATTCAATTCATTGTAATCTACATTTTTAGTTAGAATCAACAATGTTTTTCAAAAAATGTTTTTGAACTTTCATCTTTGGCGAAAACAAAGTTGAAGTTTTTAAGTATGCACAATTCAAATCAATATTTGTTCATCTACTAAACAACAATGACTTGTACCTACCAACCCCTTCATGTGGGGTAGCTAACAGTGGCAGAGCCTGACGTCAAGCCGGGGGAATGCACAGTCACTACACATTACAATGTATTTTGCAAAGCACTTTATGAGATGTCTTCCCCAAAGTTAATCAACTGCTAGGATTATTGCAATAATTATTTTTTAAAGAAAAGATGTCAGGGGGTTTTGACCCGATTCATTTGGAATAACTAAAATCGGATCAACTTCTCTCAGTATATTAGGATTATAAATGTTTAAACAATTGGAAAAGTGATTTTTATATTTATTGATATATATTAAGTAATCTTCGCATTTGATATAGTGCCTTATCATGTCATCGAGACATCTCAAAGTGCTTCACAGGACACACTGTAAAGTGGATTGACTGTGTGTTTTGTATGTATGTGTACGAATATAATAATTCTTGCATTGATATAGCAACTTATCACATTGTCGAGACATCACAAAGTGCTTCCCAGGACAGGCTGTACAGTGCATTAACTGTGCATTTTGTGTGTGTATGTATTGTATAATATATACTGTATGTAAATATGTCCCAACCAATACAAACCGTTGCATGTAATGGATTTAAGTACATATTTGTTAAATTTAATAGTCTGCTTTTGATTTGTAAACTTCCAAGCTTTGATGCCAATTAAAAAGATTTCTGAAAACCTATTGCGGAGGGAGAGACAGACTAATATTATAAAAATGCGTAAGGGGGGAGGAGTAGTATTAAAAGAACTGGGTGGTAACTATTCCCAGAATTTCCTATTTTCAGCAGAATGTAAACAAAACCCACCTTTCTCTCCCTGCCTCAAAAAAAGTGTGTGTGTGTGTGGGGGGGGGGGTTGAATTTATAGCCATTAAAGTCAATTACATGGAGCATTAACCCCCAGCCCCTGGAGTAATCTGGTGAAAATGGTCCCCAATTATCCACAGCCCCTAGAGTCTGGATTGCCCGGATTTACCCCCTGGTAATAACCAGCGTTTAAAAGCAACTCTGATAACAGTCTCAAACCGTCGAGATAGTTATCCACTGCAGTGACACAACAAAACGTGATGTCAACATCCAAGAATTTTTTTATATAGGAATTCTGTCTGATCCTCTGCCGCCACCCCCACACACAGGGTTTTATAACCAAATGCATCCTGCCATAACACACATACATGGCCCCCACTTTCTGAAGAGGTACGTGTCATTGCACTTTTCCTGCATTCTTTTTGAACAAGAAAATGTAAATGGTTTGTAGCACTATCTGTGTGCAGTATTAAGTGCATTGTCTTTTAACGTTGGAATTCAGGTGCTTTAAAACCCTGCCATTGTTGGAGAGTGTCACTGCTCTATCTTCATTCCAATATATCGCCTTCGAACTATTTCCATAAATGCCACAGCTTTCTTCTGTTGTTGGCAGTGATCTGTTAAATATCTTGGGACACGAACCTACGATTACCGCGTTATAACGAGATCCATGCAGACTAGCTGGTTCGTTTCAAACAGGAAAAATCCCTGTAATACAATAATTCCCCATCGCATTCACACCAAGGCACGAATCTTCAGCGACAAAAGAAAATTCGAAATCTTTTTACCCAAAAATTTATTTTTTTTTAAAAAAAGTTTTCGTCATCTTGAAAAAAAAATTAAAAACATTTCTGTAGAAAATTACAACATCGTTGTAAACCATTGGATACACTTACAAAGTATATAAGAATTTACAAATCGAAACACCCCCCTCAAAGATCTCTCTTTTAAGGATGTCAAAAGTTTTTTTGAAAAAAAAACATTTACACTTATTACAAAACTCTTCAAAACCGAGATCTCTCTCCTTTCTGATCACAGCCCGACTTGTGTGGGGCTGATGTGTGAGTGAGTGAGTGAGTGAGTGAGTGAGGAGATCAGACAGATTCCTTCCTTGTCCCAACTCAACTCAACTCCAACTCACTCACTGGGCTTTGCATTAGAAGTTTTGCTGCTGTTGTTGTGGGTTGTCGGGTCTCTCTCTAAGGCACACGTTGCTTTTCTGCCTCTCTCTCTCTCTCTCTCCCCCCCCAGTTCCCTCGTCCACTTGGGGTAGAGAGGGATGGAGTAGTGATGGGCGCCTGTGGACACACTGAGCAGAGCGCATCTTCTCTCCTGTTTGCACCAGGGACCGACTGCGTGTGTTGTGTGTGTGTCAGCGCCCGGACCGGAGCGGACCGGACCTACTCCGTCGTGTCAGCAGTCAAATGTCTCAATGAAACACAAGAAATAAACCATTGAGCTTCGAGTGTCTTATGTGGGTTTTCTCCCGGAGGGGGTGGATGGGGAACTCCACACAGCGAACAAGTCCAGGAGCACTTGGGAACATCACTTGGCATTTGAAATACTGAAAAATATGAACAAAAATACCTATTAATTTTACATATTCAAACAAGAACCCCGAGAGAATGCGCTTAAAATAACTTAAAATAACAGAGGACTTCAGGTTTACTGTTTATACTGAGTTACACACCAGATGTGCTGAGAATTGGGAGGAAACGCGTTGTCCCATTCTTAAAAGTAAATTATTCTTTTAAAAAAACATACAAGAACCCCTTTCTTTCAAAAAATAAAATGCAAACGTAATGAGAGATCCGATTTAAAAATCACAGTGAGTCAGATGGAACTTATACACGGGGTGGGGGGGGGGGGGGGGGGTAACTGGATTAGGAGGGAGTTTAAGCTCCATACCTGGGGGTGCGTCCACTTCAGCGACACAGGATTCTGTCATCACTGCTCACACAGGGAGTCTGAGGGGAAGGAATGAGAGGATGAGAATGAGAAGTTCAAAAAACATTCGTGAAAGAGACTTTAAATTGATTTAAAAAAAGTCATTAAATTGATTTGAGGTACACACACACACACATATATACACACACACGCACTGTCCTGGTTAACTAAAACTGGCCAACTATTTAGGCGTATTATTTAACAGGACACAGACACTCTCACTCGACTCTCTCTGAATGGCAATTACCTCGGAGGCAATTGCAGCCACGTCGGTGGCCAGGCTGGCGAGCTGGGCGTGTGTCGGCTCCTGGGTGCCAGTCTGTGCCGCCTGCTGGCGCATCATGCCCGGGTGAGTGTCCAACTCCACCTGCAGGTCCCAGATGTAGTCGATGACATGCTGGAGGATCTCCACCTTGCTGACCTTCTTGTTCTGGGGCAAAGTGGGCACCAGCTCCTTTAGCTTACTGTAACAACTGTTCATGTCGTACAGGAACATGCTCATCTGCCCGTCCAGCAGGGGAGACATCTTACACTTGGCAATGGAGATGCTTTGCTCGGAGAGACATCTGACCATGTCCTCCCCACTGCATCCCTGGCGTTTCAAGGCGCAGGAGGCACTCACAACTTTCATTTTCAAGAGGCGGGTTTGCTTCGAGCTCGAGTTGGGAGAAACGGGGAGAGGGGCAAAAATAAAATAAAATAAAAGATGGAACCAAGTTGGTGACTGGTTGGGTGCAGCGTAACCAAATCACTCCTCTATAATCAGCTTCAACAGGCGCTGTGACAAGCGGTGAACAGAAGCTTTTATGGGCATCGGGTTCAGTGGTGGGAGTTTCCTAACGTGAGCAAAACAGTGTGTTCCCAACCAATGGGTTGTCCATCTGAGGAACACCCTGGGATGGGCTTCTCGGCTGTGAGAAGCCAATCAATGAGGAACCGGTATCAGGGCTTGGGATCTGAAAGGAAAGGAGAGAGAGAGAGAGAGAGAATAAGCTCACAAATGGAGACAAATGTACATTTTTTTCAGAGTAGTGTGTGAGGGGAGAGGGGGGGGGGGGAGGGGAGATGTGGGAATGCAGCTGCGGTGGGCTGGAAAGATGCAGGTGGGGGTCGCTCTGGGGCGTGGGTGGGGAATGGAACATGGGAATGAAAGCTAACGAGAGTCATCAGATGGGAAATGAGAGAGAGAGACAGACAGACACTCACACAGACAGACACACACACAGACGAGGGGGAAAAAAAAATCATTTCGAATTATTTTCTCTCGTCCCCATTTTTTTTGGCCCCAAAATACGACTCTCTAAACCCAAATCCCAGCTGGGATCACTTATTTTTTTCTGCTGCTGCTGTCTATGTCTCTTACGTCTTCTTGTCTTGTCTCTTTAAACCAAAAAAAACTTAAAACTTTTTTTTAAAAAAAAATAGTTACGCTCTTCTCGACTTGGAGAGATGTGTCTCCAGCTGTTGGTGTGATTTGAATTGCAAATTCGCTTTGGGGTTTATTTGCGGAATTTAAACGTTTTTTTTTGCAAATGTAACGGAATGTCAGGACACCCGAAATGCGACTCACATCGCCTCTGATATTCTCGATGATACACACTATGAAGAAGAATAAGTCTCAAGGAATTAATTGTAAGCAAACCCCACCCCCCCCCCCCCCACCCCCCCCACACACACTCATATATTATTTAAGATGTTTGAGATGGGGGGAAAGACTTTTAAAACTAAATAATAAGTGGATCCTAACCTGTTCAGCCCATATGTCGAGTCTATTTATTCCCTTCTGTATTTTTGACAAAACTTTTTTTTATATATATGTGTGTGGAAGACACTTTGTTCTCGTTCTGGTACAAAAGTTACCTTCATGTCAATAGTTGTCAGCGGGACATGAAGCAAATGGCATTGAAACCGCACACACAACACAACAATGTTGGGGTTTTTTTTTCAAAAAAAAATTAAAAAGTTTTAGGCAGATCGTTACAACTTTTTTTTAAAAAACCAAAAAAAAATAAGTCCCAGGAGACGGAGTTTATTCTCTATTAACAAAGGGCAATGGAGGGCTGAGTCTTCTGAGAAAAAAAAACAGCATTTTTGGGGGTTTTTTTTGGAAAACTTTTTATAGGTTTTTAAAATTCGTCTCAAAAAAAAATTCCTCATTGGTGGTTATAGAGGGGACGGGGGGGGGGTGAGGGGGAGAGAGGGGGGGGGGGGTGAGGGAGTGAGGGGGAGAGGGTGAGGGAGAGGGTACGAAGAGAGTGTGGGGGGGGGGGAGTGTGTGTGGGGGGGTAGTGAGTGTGTGTGGGGGGGTTCTGTGTGTGTGTGTGGGGGGGGGGGAGTGTGTGTGTGGGGGGTAGTGAGTGTGTGTGGGGGGGCAGTGTGTGTGTGAGTGAGTGTGGGGGGGGCAGTGTGTGTGTGAGTGAGTGTGGGGGGGGGCAGTGTGTGTGTGAGTGTGGGGGGGGGCAGTGTGTGTGTGAGTGAGTGTGGGGGGGGGCAGTGTGTGTGTGAGTGTGGTGGGGGCAGTGTGTGTGTGAGTGTGGGGGGGGACAGTGTGTGTGTGAGTGTGGGGGGGGCAGTGTGTGAGTGAGTGTGGGGGGGGGCAGTGTGTGTGTGAGTGTGGGGGGGGGCAGTGTGTGAGTGAGTGTGGGGGGGGGGCAGTGTGTGTGTCTGAGTGAGTGTGGGGGGGGGGGGCTGTGTGTGTGAGTGTGGGGGGGCAGTGTGTGGGGGGCAGTGTGTGAGTGAGTGTGGGGGGGGGCAGTGTGTGAGTGTGGGGGGGGGCAGTGTGTGTGTGTGTGGGGGGGGCAGTGTGTGTGAGTGTGTGTGGGGGGGGCAGTGTGTGTGAGTGTGTGTGGGGGGGGCAGTGTGTGTGTGTGTGGGGGGGGCAGTGTGTGTGAGTGAGTGAGTGTGGGGGGGCAGTGTGTGAGTGTGGGGGGGGGGCAGTGTGTGAGTGAGTGAGTGTGGGGGCAGTGTGTGAGTGTGTGTGGGGGGGGGTTAGTGTGTGTGAGTGTGGGGGGGCAGTGTGTGTGTGTGAGTGTGTGTGGGGGGGGCAGTGTGTGTGAGTGAGTGTGTGGGGGGGGCTGTGTGTGTGTGTGTGAGTGTGGGGGGGGGCTGTGTGTGTGTGTGAGTGTGTGTGGGGGGGCAGTGTGTGAGTGTGGGGGGGGCTGTGTGTGTGTGTGTGAGTGTGTGTGGGGGGCAGTGTGTGTGTGAGTGTGTGTGGGGGGGCAGTGTGTGTGAGTGAGTGTGTGGGGGGGGGCTGTGTGTGTGTGGGGGGGGCAGTGTGTGTGTGGGGGGGGGCAGTGTGTGTGTGAGTGTGAGGGGGGCTGTGTGTGTGTGTGTGAGTGAGTGTGGGGGGGGGGCAGTGTGAGTGTGTGGGGGGGGCTGTGTGTGTGTGTGAGTGAGTGTGGGGGGGCTGTGTGTGTGAGTGTGGGGGGGGCAGTGTGTGTGAGTGTGTGGGGGGGGGCAGTGTGTGAGTGTGTGGGGGGGGGGGCAGTGTGTGTGTGTGTGAGTGTGGGGGGGCAGTGTGTGTGTGTGTGAGTGTGGGGGGGGCAGTGTGTGAGTGAGTGTGTGTGAGTGTATGTGAGTGTGGGGGGGCAGTGTGTGTGAGTGTGGGGGGGGGGGCAGTGTGTGTGTGTGTGGGGGGGGCAGTGTGTGTGTGTGTGTGGGGGGGGGCAGTGTGTGTGTGTGTGGGGGGGGCAGTGTGTGTGTGTGTGGGGGGGGGCAGTGTGTGTGTGTGGGGGGGGGGCAGTGTGTGTGAGTGTGGGGGGGGGCAGTGTGTAAGTGTGGGGGGGCAGTGTGTGTGTGTGAGTGAGTGTGGGGGGGGGGGCAGTGTGTGTGTGTGGGGGGGGGGCAGTGTGTGTGTGTGTGTGGGGGGGGGGGGCAGTGTGTGTGAGTGAGTGTGGGGGGGGGCAGTGTGTGTGAGTGGGGGGGCAGTGTGTGTGAGTGGTGTGGGGGGGGTTAGTGTGTGTGTGTGGGGGGGGCAGTGTGTGTGTGAGTGTGTGTGTGTGGGGGGGGCTGTGTGTGTGTGGGGGGGGGCTGTGTGAGTGTGGGGGGGGGGCAGTGTGTGTGAGTGAGTGTGGGGGGGGGGCAGTGTGTGTGTGTGTGGGGGGGGCAGTGTGTGTGTGTGTGTGTGTGTGTGTGGGGGGGGGCAGTGTGTGTGTGTGAGTGTGTGAGGGGGGGCAGTGTGTGTGTGTGGGGGGGCAGTGTGAGTGTGTGTGAGTGTGTGGGGGGGGGCTGTGTGTGAGTGTGGGGGGGGGCAGTGTGTGTGTGAGTGAGTGTGTGAGGGGGGGCTGTGTGTGTGTGTGAGTGTGGGGGGGGCAGTGTGTGAGTGAGTGTGGGGGGGCCTCTCGGGGCAGCTCCGGGGTGACAGCGCCCCCCAGGTCCCCGCAGCCCTCAGACTGGCAGGCGCCAGGCCCGTGACGTCACCCATTCATGCGGCCTTGACGGCTGTCACGCTGGCGCCGGGCAGGCGGTCTCCATGGCGACGCTCCCGCCAATCAGCCGCACTACAAGGGCGCCGCGCGGGGCAGCAATTAACTGGCAATCATCTGCACCCTGATACCGCGCCCTTTAATTTGTCACCTTAACCCCGCGCCAGAACCTTACACCCGCACACCTGCACAGCCGCATTGTTGCTTGTGTTCCCGAGGCGCCCCCCCCCCCCCCTCACCCCCCCCCCTCACCCCCTCACCCGAGCTTCGCCGCGTTTGGGGTGTATTCCTCTCTCTCTCTCTCTGTGTGTGTATATATATATATATGTTTCGTTGCATTTCATTTAGAAATGTAATTGAGCGACGGCTTTAAATGGTGGTGATGGGGGAGAGGGACAGGGAGGTGGGGTGAGAGGGTGGGGGGGGGGGGGGAGAGATGGGGGGGAATGAGAGAGAAAAGGAGATGGGAATGAAAGAGATGGGGAGGAATGAGAGGGAGATTGGGGATGAGAGAGAGAGATGGAATGAGAGATGGGGCGAATGAGAGGGGGGGAGATGGGGAGGGAGAGAGATATAGAGAGCTGGGGGGGGACGAGGGAGATGGGGCGAGAGGGAGATGATGCGGGGAGATAGCGGGGTGAGAGGGAGATGATGGGAGAGAGGAAGATAGGGGGCGAGAGGGAGATGATGGGAGAGAGGAAGATAGGGGGGCGAGAGGGAGATGATGGGCGAGAGAGGGAGAGGGAGATGATGAGAGAGAGCGGGAGATAATGGGGGGAGATAGGGGGGGTGAGAGGAAGATGATGGGGGGAGAGAGGGCGGTGAGGGAGATGATGGGGGGAGAGGGGGCGGTGAGGGAGATGATGGGGGGAGAGAGGGCGGTGAGGGAGATGATGGGGGGAGATGGGGAGAGAGAGAGGGAGATGATGGGGGGAGATGGGGAAGAGAGAGAGGGAGATGATGGGGGGAGATGGGGAAGAGAGAGAGGGAGATGATGAGAGAGAGAGATGGGGGGAGGGGAGGGAGAGAGGAACAGTTCAATCTGCTCTGCATAGCAATGCATAAACCAGCTGCATCGCTTTGCACTGCAGGATAGCAGTTAACACATTATAAAGCGATTACCGTTCCACTTCTTTTACGGTCTTTATTATACATTTTTTAAACCTTTCCATATAAACTTTAAACTATTATAAAATATATTATACATACATATATGTGGGTGGGGGGATGTCTTATACTCTCGTCTGATAGCTGTCCCTTCACACAGAAAATAATCAATTGAAACTGTTTTTAAGTACATAACTTGCATAAACCCTGATAAACAGTACATTCAGTCAGTTCAGCGTCTGTTAAAAATCTGGATTGTCAATGTTAGAGTGCAATTTACAAAACCCCCTCGATTCTGTCACAATTTCTGCTTTCTTTTTTAAAAAATAACCGTTTTTAATTTTCAATATAACAAAAAAATGATTTTTAAACAAAAAAGTTAACATTTTATGTTTCAAAATAACATTTTTTGAAACAAAAGGTAT